ACCCCGGAGGATTTTAGTCGGTTGTGAGCAGCGCGCGCCCGGCCAGAGTGCGAAGGGGAACACAGCTGCTGAAAAGACTCTTGAAAGCGGAATTGATATTTTTTGTTTTTTCTTGCAACGTGTTTCTTCCTCTTTCTTTGGCTGCGCATTTTTTAATACCGTGTCAGTTGTTTATCTGTTGAATTTTCCAACTGTCTTGAAAAAAAGGAGAAAATCTATTGGATCATTTTTCGTCGTTTTATCCTGTGCGAAACGAGAAAGGACGCGTGTCTAATTTCACAGACAACTGGTGTTGCATCGATGTGACACGTAATAATGAGAAAACAGGAAAGTCAATTTTTGACATCCCAATGCTTGTAATAGGATTCCAAAATACGATATGTTCATCGATCACGTCAAAGAGCGCCTTATGCGCGTTTTTCCAGCTGAATCGCAGTCGCGAAAGTGGAATAAGAAAAAAAATCGCTCATTTTGTCTTACCCCCTCGCGTTTGCAACACTACACATCTTTCAGCATCGCTTTTAATGAAATGAAATGTGAACTTGTGAATCTGTCATCGATTCATATCACTTATTACGTAAATTTTATACAAGCACAGCCGATTTTTATTTCTTTGATGTTTAAAAGCTGAAACTTATTAACATTATTACATGTGTAGAAATATAATTTCAGGTACTCATTATACATCAAGTTTTGTTGTAAATTTTTCTCATTCATATCTCCCAGTGAAGAGAATTCACGTGATTGATTCTGCTTTAATTACATGTACAAGGTAAACATTTCAATTTAAAAATAGTCTCTCAAGTTAAGATAATAATGAATTGAACGTGATCCAAAACTCGAAATTATCATCAAATGAGTTGGTTTGTGCATTAATAGATATACTCAAGAGGGAGGTTTGATTATTGCTGTCAAACGACGCACGCGAATAACTAAATTATTGAAAAAAAATGTACTATTTTCATATTCATTTTGATAAACAGTAATATAAATCTCATTGGACTGTTTTTCAAACTATCAGCCATTCCAATTGCGAATTAACAAACAAATAGAAGTAAAAATAACATTTACTCTTAGGTATCTCATGGGATGATCACGATATCGCAAGTCGATCTAAACCGCCATGTACTCAGGAAATTGAGAAATGCACACACTCTCGAAGCTCCTAAGCATATAGTTTTCCATTTTTAGATTCATCTTGCCAGATGTTGAATATACGTACACGGGTGTAATTTTCCATCCCGTGCTCTCGCAAAGCGATTAACGTCTCGAGAGTCTTGAGAGAGCTCTGAGCAGATGTCGCGCGTTCTGTTGCGCGGAGAGCGCGTAGCTTTTCGAAACTCTCGCTCGCTGCGCTGTCCCGCCGCCCGCGATCATCATTGTCGAAACGAAGCAAAGAGAGGAAATGATTTTGGGAAATTTGAACGGGCTGTAATGCGCGGCGGCAGCGGCACACAGCTTTCGGCTCGACCCAAAGACCTACAAATTGCACATCGATCCGTTCTCGCGCAAACATCGCCTGTATACCTCATCCTTTACGTAATCCCACGCTATACTGCCGGCGTCGTTGCTGCTGATACGCTTTCCCCTAATGACACACACACACACACACGTACAGAACCCCGTGGTATTAAACGACAAAGAGAAAAAGGGTGGCAGCGTCTCACACGCACACGCATGTACACCAAACTCGGAGCGAACAAAGAAACGCGTTGCAAGCTCGGTACGCAGCTACCGCTCGAAAAACGGCACGTGGAGAGAGAGAGAGAGACGCGCTTTCATATATACGGGGGGAAAATCTGCTGCTCCCGGCTTCGATCCCGTTGGGAAATACGCTTGTAATAATTTTGCAGACTGCAGGTTCGTTTCTATCTCGCTCGTCGAGTGGCCGAAAAAACCCTGCCGTCGATACATTGTATCATACTTGTATATGGAACTGGGTCAAAGCGCCACCGCCTGTATATCACGCGCGATATTTTCATCGCGGGACCGTGCGTCCATGGCTTTGTTCCCGAATAAAATATATAGGCAGCATCTATAAATGGGAAAAATCTAACGATTATGTAGCCGCTACTTCATGGAATAATGTGGCCTTATATTTTTATGATTTGTATATCATTTCGCTACTTTATGCGAGGATTGTTATATTGTCGCCTCTCTAGTGTTCAAAGAAATACAATTTCTGTCCCAAAAAGTGTAGCATTATGTAGCACGCGTAAAAACGCGTGTCTAACTATGTCGGCCTTTAAGCACACACATAATATCTCTCGCGGGTAACGAATGGACAGTTTAATTAAATAAGCAAGCGATCATCTCGCATAAATAGCCTCGTATTAGCATAAATATACAGGCCCGAATTAATTTCATTTATCTCGTCCGTAACCGAAAAGATTACAATGTATAATGATGTAGCGCAGGCATTCTCACTTCATTAAAATATCCAAAGCCCCCGCGCGCGAGAGGAGGATTTGGAAGCTATTCGCCGTATTATTATTTTATATTATACCCAAACACACGCGTGCGCGCGCGAGCACGACGTAATCGAAGGAATCTCGGCTCCGAATCTTTGCCGAAAACCCGTGTAAATTTCGTTACGTAATTGCGCGCGCCCCGGACAATTAAGCTCTCTCTCTCTCTATCTCGCGCGCGCGCGAGTTTATGTTCTATAAATTACACGTCTATATTGGCTTGTAATGCGCTCTGGCCAGTGCAGCAGCCTTGATCTAAAGCTGCTATCGAAAAAAAGAAGGAAAGAGGAGGAAATAAAAAAGTAAGGTGCTGCGCGAATTGCGTCTATATAAAAGTGTATAGTAAGAGAAACGAGAAGAAGAAAGAGAGACGAGGAGGAGAAACTTGTATTAGAGGCTAACGAGATCACACAACGTATCCCGCAGAAAAAGATGATGGCGAGAGAAGAAAGGGAACATTCCGGTCGCAGGGCAGAGCAGCAGCAACAGCAACAATACAAAAAATACATCTCTCTCTCTCTCTCTTTCTCTCTCTGGACCAGTAGAAATTTAATCGCAGAGAGCAACTACTATACGCTATATGTACGCCGGAGCAGAGTATTTGTGAAGCGTTGCGGGCAAAAAAACGCACCCCGATTGCCGCTGTCGTTGTTGCTGCTGTTGCTCGAGCTGCTCCTGAATCCTGTTTTCCATTCATTTCATTCATTCATCCCCGACCCGTGCAAATGCTCCCGTGCAGCAGCAGCACAATATGCTCGCTATATCCCACGGTCTTTACGCGCTCCTGAAAAAGATTCTCTTTTCTTGTACCTATGCTGCTGCTGCTGCTCCGTACATGCGCCATACACCTGGTTTTTTTTCGGAGGGCTGTGATCGATAAGATGATGATCTTGGGATCGTCGAGGAACAACCGAGTAAATGTGAATGGCGCGTGTGCCTCTCTGCGTTATCGAATTTTCCCGTTCACCCTGCGCGTCGAGGCGCAATGATTTTCTGCCCTTCGAAAATTACCAATCCGTCCAATTGGACAGCTGACCATTATAAATGACGCGGAGCTGTATCATGCGATATCATAAATATCTCCTGCGATCAAGTCGCTCGGTATGTATAACGTAGCGATCGTCTTAGTCATTCCGAGTATTTAATCGACAGGGAGGGTGTAGTAGCTGTAGCTGCGTCGCTGGGGGTGACTGGGCTTCTCCGAAAGAATCGGGAAAACCCCGTTTTTGCCCAGCAGATTCATCAAGCTTTACGAGTACCATTTACTATACGATATTCTGGCATGAAAAGGATATAATGATTCATTCCAGAAGAAAATTGGAAATCCAATGAAAAGTTCCATCAAACATTTTGAAACGATGATATTTTGAACATGTAATAACAATTTTGATTCTTTGTATTTGAATGTGGAAATAAAATGACTTGAAACATACCTCATCCTTTTTGCTGTTCGATTTCAATTTTGTGACTCCTTATCTGACATTATTCACATATATTTAAAATGACCTCTTACTTCTTATAAACATTAATTTCTCCAAATTCCTTTGTCTAGAAATAAGATGATAATTGGATTAATATATAATTCCTCAGTAACCATTTCAAATACGTAAATCATGAAATTACGAAAAAATTTATGTGAAATCATCAAGAAATTTTTTTTCATAAAAAATGTGTATGAGGCGATTTTAAATAAACGACCTTGAAAAATATTGATGCAAACTAAATTATTGTTTACCCTTTAAACTCCTAAACAATATTTCGAATTCATTTTTCATAAAATTGTTTACTTATTCAATTCATTCGGTTGAATTTTTACAATTTATGTTTATACTAGGTACGTTACACATTATGACCTTGAAACTGTCAGTCTAGCCAGTTAAGTGAATAATATTGGTGAATTTACTCTATCTATAACATCAAATTTTAATGAAAATAGATCAGTAGTGTATATGTTAATGATTTTTATCAAATCTCAGTAAACGAAGTGTATTGATCCAAATAAAGAGAAATCATTAATTTTTTGAGTCTAATCGCATTTAAATATCCAATTAAAGATAGATAGTAATCATCACTCGTGTGATTTAACGCGAGTCTAATTACGCATCAATGAAATCGTTTACCAAGTATAAATTACATTTACACTTGACTAGTAAAAATTCAACGAACAAACAATTACAATGACGCTAGAAAAATATTTGGAGTCACATATTCTAAGGATTTCATGGTTGAACCGTATGCTTTTGTAAAAATTTATAGTCGAAGGTTGCAAGAATCGAGGGGTATTAGGTGCTATACGAACATGAACGAAAATAATAAAACCTATATCTATACATGGCCCATACCTACATCATTGTTTAGAATGCAGTGCATATTACACGAAAATTCGAGTGTTACGTCACGCAGGGTAGAGAGTGTGGGGACCCATTGTTTGGCTTCGAGGGTCCCCAAGCTAAACGCCGCTTTTGCCGCCATAATCGGCATCTCAGTTCTCGAGCCGGCTGCAAAACTCGCATGGTAAAATCGTTTGCCAATAACATTACGCCGTTTTCTGCAACACGTGCGTTATCAGACCGCGTGGTATCGCGCCGGACGCGAATCCAAGTTGTTTATTATTGTTGAATAATGACTAATTCTCGTTGAATTGTACTTATGGTTTTATTCAAATTTGTGGAAAAATGTTAAGTTGCTCTCAACGCTGGAAAAATAGGCGACCTTTGTTGTTTTCCTTCGGCTTTATATTGTGACACTGGTTACAGAGTGTGCACCGGCGAATGGGCTGACGAATCAGAAAGTTGTTAGGATTGTAAATAATCGTTAATTATTGAAATGTTTTCGAGAATACACTCGTTAAAGTATCTTCAATCGTTGGAGTGGCTGTTGACAAAAACTATACACAAACATCGCGTTGCTATTAAGTCATATCACGACATCAATGAAGAGGTACCTGTTATTCATTTATCTGAAATTAAAAAGATATTAAAATCTGTAAATAGTATGACTTTGGAAGGCCATGCTTGCATCACATCAAATTACGCTCTTTGTGAAGATTTAAAGAAAAAAAATTGTAAAATACATATAAATAAAATTACAGGTATTGATTTTCTTACTTAACTTTATCAAATTTATTGTGGAGTTTCATTTTTTTAAAATAAACCTTTAATGAATTTTTTTAGGATTTTTTATGTGTGAAAGTTGCAAGCGTATTGGACCTTGGAGTACCATTGAAAGAATCATAGTGCCAAAAAATCCAAAGAAAGCAGCTGAAGAAATAGAATTATTGCGAAAAGGTATAGAAGTGTTACCAGACTTCCATAAAGAATGGGAAACTATCAAAAAGTCAACTCAATCATTGGAAACCTTGCCAAATGATAGATACTCGGAAGTTATGGAAAAATTTAATTTAGGGGTACAAAATTGTGATTTTCATGTTTTCATTACAACAACAGAATAATAATTATTTATATTTTCTAGTATGTTCCACAAGAAATAATGGCTCAAATGAATACACTGTATGACAGTTCCTCAGATACTTTATATTTTCCTATTTTAGCTTTTCGTAATTTAGTAGTTGGATATAAATTATTTTCTATTGATCTCAAGAACTTGGAAACTGTTCCTGCTATGAATGCTGGTGGTATTATAATTTATAAACAAAAAAATATAAAAACAGATGGAACAGTTGTAGTAGTATCTAACATAGAAGATCTATTGGCAATAGCTTCATCAAAAGCTGCCACTACAGTTATTTGTCTTCCTTATGGTTTAAAAAATATTCCTCAACAAATATTACCCAGTTTAGAGTCTTACAAGAAACTCATTTTATGGTTTGGGAATGATGAATCTGGTTGGGACACAGCAAGAACTTTTGCCAAAAAGCTAGATGCCAATAGATGTCATTTTGTTAGACCTACCGATAGACAACCCAATGCAAAAGTTGCATCAAGTTTGGGATACGATTTGAAGGAAATTATTCAAAATGCTCAACCAATATGGCATAAAAGTATAACAACTTTTCAGAGTTTAAGACAAGATGTGCTGAGTGATTTACAAAATTTAGACAAAGTTCAAGGAATTAAATGGACAAGATATCCATCATTGAATAAAATTTTAAAAGGTCATAGAAGAGGGGAGTTCACTGTAATCACAGGGCCAACTGGTTGTGGAAAAACCACCTTTATGAGTGAATATTCTTTAGATTTAGCAATGCAAGGTGTAAACACACTATGGGGTAGTTTTGAAATAAGAAATGCAAGATTAGCTAAAACAATGCTGCAACAAATGGCTGGGGTACCATTGGATGAAAATATTAAAAATTTTGATCACTATGCTAATGAATTTGAGAAACTCCCAATCTATTTCATGACTTTTCATGGACAACAGAGTATAAAAGTTGTAATGGAGGTAATTAAAAATCTTTTTTTCATTTGTATGCACAGTTTAAAAGAATAAATCATTTCCAGGCAGTTGAACATGCTACTTACGTACATGATATAGCTCACGTGATCATTGATAATGTACAATTCATGATGGGAATGTCAGATGAGCCTAAATATATGGATAGGTATGTGTTCTATCAAATGATTTATTAAAATTCTAATATGAATATTGAAACACATTTATTGATTGCTTGTAAATGAAAGATTTTTAACTTTAGTACTTTAAATCTTAATTTTCAGATTTTGGAAACAAGACAAAATTATAGCTATTTTTAGAACTTTTGCAACAAAGTTTAATTGTCATGTTTCATTAGTTATTCATCCTAGGAAAGAGAAAGAAGATGGAGATTTAACAACTGCTTCAATTTTTGGTGGAGCTAAAGCAACACAAGAAGCTGATAATGTTCTAATTGTTCAAGACAAAAGATTAACCAGTGTCAGAGGCAAAAAATATTTACAAGTATGTGAATTATAATAGAAAATAAAATAAACTATAATACTATTCATGAAATAATTTCATTCAACAGGTAGCTAAAAATCGTTACAGTGGTGATTTGGGTATAATGCTACTAGAGTTTGACAAAAATAGTCTTAGTTATTCTCAAAAGAAAAAAACCAAGCCTGAAGAAACAGTAGCATCAAAGTATATTTTGGAGTAAAGTCAATTTCACAAAATATAATGTAGTATAATGTACAGTATTTTTAATTTGTATATATTTGTGGATAAACATATCATCATAAATTAAATTTTAGTTGTTTAATAAATGAAATATTAAAATAAATTAACCATGGCCCCTTATTTGTTCTGTTTGAACCTATGTAGTGTTATATCAGAAAAGCAAAATGAAAATAAATCAAATAAAATTATTTTCTTTCTTAAAAATTTCAAGTAATTTCAAAACAAAAAATATATGCCTTATAAAATTATTATTCAAAATCATAACATCAATTATATTTAAAACTTCATTTCTTAATAATAAACTTTTTTTATTTTGAAATGCTTTTCAAAAGCAAGTTATTAACATACAATTCTAAATTGGAGTAAATGACAAGTTCATGGGTGATAATTGTGAGCTTTGTGCTGTTATATTATTTCCTGTTTCACCAATTGGATTTGTTTCATTCATATCTTCAACAACCATAGGATTATCTTCAACTTTGATTCTTCTTTGTGCAATAGTCCTCAAGAATGCCTTAGCTTCTTCTTTTGTTTCTTCATACTGCAAACACTTTTGAGCATAATGATTTGCTTGATCCAATTCATCTCTTTTTAAATGATAGTCAGTTAAAAATTTATATGCATGACTTAGTTCAGTTCTTTCAGCATTTTTAAATTCATCTGTGACAAAATCAGTATACGCAGCAGCTGCATTATCATGATGACCCAATTTTTCATACAATCCTGCTAATCTTATTAAAGCAACTCCTTCTATATCACCCACATGACAAGCTTTATAATAACATTTAAGTGCTTCTGGTATCTTTTCTTGTTTCTCATAAGCTTCTCCCAAAGCAAGAACCATTCTACTGTCACGAGGCCTTAATAATTGTGCTTGTTTGTAATAGTAAAGACCATAAAATGGCATTTTTAATATTTCATATGTTTGACCAAGACCATACCATGCTCTATAATCTCTTTTATTAACTTCAATGGCTTGGCGATAACTATGAATTGCACCATTGGTGTTTTTCATTTCCATAAACTCATGACCTAACAATGTCCATGCTGATAAATATTGAGGATTTAGTTTTAATGCTCTATGGAAGTACATTACAGCTTTTTGATGGTCTGCTCTTAAACTGTAATAATTACCAACGATGCAACAGGTTTCTAGTCTATATTTATCAATTTCAGTTGCTTTGTGAGCCAAATGAGCCAACTCATTTTTCAATTCTTTCACGTACAAAAGATTAGAATATGTATCCATATTATCTAAGCAAAAAGGATCATCATCAATTATCTGTTTAAATGTAAGAATTGCATTATCTACATCTCTTTTGTAATGTACGGCGATAGCGGTTTGAGCTAAAACGTAACCATTTTTTTGAAATCCCATTCCTTGCAATTCACAATATAGAGCTAATCCTTCATCGAGAAGTTGTAGCTCTAAATATATGTGAGCTAAGAAAAATTGTTTTATCCAATGATTGGGTAAAGAAAGGGCATCTAATTTTTCTCTGTCTGTAATTAAACTTGCCAATTCTAGCCAGGTTCCCCAGTGCATTGGTTCTTTGTGGATTGCATCAACTAGGACATCAATAGCTTCCTTAGACAACTGCAATTTTTTCAAAATAACTCCATACAAATATAAACAATACCCATCTAGTTTACCAAGATTATGCTCTTTTCTCAATTCACTACAAAGTAATTTCAAAGAACTGTTTTTTAGAGGATCTGGTGGAACATCAATCATATTGTCAATCTTCTTTTTTTCACCAGACAAATACTGCGAATAATAATAAAGAAAATTGGCTTTTGGAGTTTTACAATTTTTCAAGAAATGCGCAGCTCTATCGTATTCTTTGAGATCGAAATAACTTTTGGCCAAATTATAAGAATCGACATCGTGTTCGCTAATTTTAATCGTGGGTGGAGTGTCAGCCATGAGATAAGTGTCATCGTGAGAAATATTTTTCAAAGAATAACTCAATTCAGCTAGCCATTTTGTTGTGTGCATGAGTCCTCGTTGAGAACATTCCGAAATTCCCTTGATGAGATCTGCTTTGATTCGCTTTATATCGAATTTAATGGATGGATCGTCCATAGTGTTCATTTTTTGAAAATACCACTATCACTACGAAAATAACAACTATTAAATAAATCTTAAAAGAGAATTGTACTTCTAACTTGTTTACAGCACCAAGCCGGCTGATGCTTTTCACGAATCAAAACATAAGGGGGCCGACACAATATTGCTTGTCGAAAAGCTCGAGCTGCGATAAGCGATTGCGGGCCACCTATTTAAGGTTGTAACACAACATCACGATTGAATACTAATATTTAATATTTATATAGTTTATTAAATAAATTTCTTAAAATTAAATTGGCTTGGTTTTATTGTAGTTTTTCATTCGATAATTTTTAAATTCAACTAAACTCCACGGAGTATAACTGAAATAAATTTTTAAAACAATAATTTACCAAAAAATATAAAAGTTATTTTACCTTTTTATTGATAGAATTTTAATAATTTTCAACAATTTAATCAGTTTAACTTGACTTGAAATTTTTCGTGAGACGTTATCATGCGATGTACAATTTCAATGTTTTCAAATATAATACGTTGTAACTCCTTTGTGCTAAATGCGTTTCATATAGACTCTATATGATATTCCGTCCTCTTTCCTCCCACACTAGTTGCATAGTTAAGCTCAAAGATTTCTATTGGAACTAATTTCTGCAGTCCCGCGGCAACACATTCTAACCCACATTGATGTGTTTGTTTACAACAGAAAAACACTGCAACGCTGCTATTATGTGATATATTTATCAAATCAAATTATAACAACAATGCTGTGCCATAAAATTAGTATATTATTCGTTTTGCTGCACATAGTGATAATAACAAGTAGCGAGCATCATGCCAATTTTCAGAAACCTACGGTCTTGATCGGGATTTTGGCTAGAAATAAAGCTCACACACTGCCATATACATTGAGCTTTTTAGAAAGTCTAAACTATCCCAAGGATAGAATCTCATTATGGTGAAATATGTTCTTTGATTTATTTATACTAGGGATCAAGAATTTTAAACTATAACATGAATGGTTATTGCAGGATTCAAAGTGATAATAATATTGATAATACTATCAAAGTATTAAATACTTGGATAGACGAACAAGGAAGTAGCTATCATTCAATCAATGTTACTCTTGATAAAAAGTCCAAAGGATTTAAAAATGAAGAAGGAATTGCAGATTGGGATTCTTCTAGATTCGAACATATTATTTTGTTAAGAGAGAGAATACTTGACCAAGCAAGAAGAATGTGGGCAGATTTTGTATTTGTATGTATTACTATTATATTGTATTTTTAATGTGAATGATTGTAAAAAATGTTTTTGTAATTTTCAGATGCTAGACGCAGATGTTTTTTTAACAAATCCAGATACTCTAAATTTGTTGATCTCACAAGAAAAACTAGTTGTAGCACCTTTGTTAAAATCAGATGGAATGTACAGTAATTTTTGGTCTGGTATGACCGATAATTATTATTATAAGAGAACAGATGAATACGAACCAATTCTGAATCGAGAAAATCCTGACTGTCATATTGTTCCAATGATACACAGTGCGGTACTAATTGATCTTAGAAGGGAAGCTAGTAAATTGCTAACTTATGATTCCAAAAAAATATCTAATTATGATGGACCAAGAGATGACATAATTACTTTTGCACTTCAAGCAAGTTATGCAGGTTTGTATCATTATTATTTCTTTTTATATAAAAAAACAAATAAAAATTTGACTTTGGTTTTGTAGATATTCCATTGCATGTTTGCAATAATGAAATTTATGGATTCATTATGGTCCCACTGGAAAAACAAGATAAACTAGAACATGATTACCAACAATTAATCAATTTGAAACTTGAAATGTTAGCCATTGGTGAGAACTTGGTTTATATCATAATGAATAATTTATAAGCAGTTTCTAATCATCTTTAATTATTTACAGATGAAATAGAAAGTATACCTATTTCTAAGACTATGAAACGCTTTGTCATTTATCCTCCTAAAGACAGATTAGGACTTGATAAAGTTTTCATGATAAATCTTGAAAGAAGACCTGAAAGACGTAGTAGAATGTTGTCATGCTTTAACGAGCTTGGCATAGATCATGAAATTATTGATGCTGTAGATGGAAGGTATGAAAATTTAAAATAACATCTTTAATTTAAATTTAATTATATCATTTGTTCCAGAATGTTGAATGAAAGCTTGTTAGATTCGTGGGAAATCAAAATGATGCCAGGTTATAAAGATCCTTTTCACAATAGGTAATTTTCATACAAACTTATCGATAAATAATCTCTTTGTTAATCTGTGTTATGAATCTTTCAGACCAATGACAATGGGAGAAGTTGGATGTTTTTTAAGCCATTACATAGCTTGGAATAAGGTGAGTTTAAACTTAAAAAAATGACCCCATCAATAAATACAATATGAAAATTAATTTATAAAATTATCATATAGGTTATTGAGAGTGGATATCGATATTCTATGGTTTTGGAGGATGACGTAAAATTTGAACCATACTTCAAACAGAAAGTCTTATATATTCTACAAGAATTGGAAACTGTTAAAAAAGACTGGGATTTAGTGTAAGTAATATCTATTGAATAATAATTTTGTTTTTAATTAAACTATGAATTGTAATTTGTAAATTGTATCTTTTTATTTATTTATTATTTGGGCATTAGTTATTTGGGGAGAAAACGATTGCAAAAAGATCCCGAAAATTGGGTGGAAGGATCTCAGTATTTAGTACATGCAGGATATAGTTATTGGACAGTAGGATATTTACTATCAGCTAAAGGAGCCAAAAAATTGATTAATTCCAAGCCATTACAAAACTTGATACCTGTAGATGAATTTTTGCCCATCATGTATGACAAGCATACAAGGTAAATAAAATGAAAAAAATTTAGATTAAAAAATGTTCAGTCTATCAATTATTTTATTTTTAATTCTTGTAGAGAAGAATGGAAACAATTTTTTCCTGAAAGAAATTTGGTCGCATTATCAGCTGAACCTCTCGTGATATATCCAACGCATTACACAGGCGATGCAGGCTACATAAGTGATACAGAAAACTCCTCTCAGTTGCCCGAAAATTCACGGGGCGATAATGGTAGCAAAGAAGAGCTTTAGGCTCATAAATTTTATTATGTAAGTTACAAGAATCAAACAGTACAAACGTTTCTTTGAGAAACCGTGAACAGACTGATTCAGCAATTTTTTTATTCACCATGACAAATGTCGAATAAACATTTTTTACATTTTTCAATTGTAAAAAAGTATTCAAATATCCGACCAAAGATGAGATCGTAGTTTCCGACTAGTCTATGTTTTGACAAGTGCCATACACCAAAAAAAGAATTTATGTTAAAATTTCGTTGATGTTTGAATTATCAAAAAAAAAAATAAGTTCAAAAAAGATTAAGAGTTGCCAGTTAATTTTCAAACCATGTAATGGAATTGAAAAGTTTATTTATGAAGATTTTGTACCTAATGAATGTGTATGTTTGAAGCTTTGATAAGATATATTAAGTTTTGAAATGTTTATACCATGTACGTCGATAGTTATTTATCACTTAATATGTACAAAAAGTAATTGGAAAATTGAATAAAAACGGTAGGAAACTGATCTAACTGGAACGTTAATGACTCTTGTAGCCGTGGAAGCGCGAGAAGCGGAGTCGAGCGCGCTCCCCCGTATATCGAAATTTAATGCACTTATCCCAAGTTCATTAGCACCTGTCTGAGTTATCTGCGAGGCAGAGATTGGGCGGGGGTGCACTCGTGATTCGATAAGCGTCGTCGGAGCTGAAATTGCAGGCGAGATTCAAACTTTCGCGCTTATCGAGTCAGCGCCATTTTTCGCCTCTGGATGGATGATGAAATATCGCACGCGACGTCGGCGGGGGAGGGCAAGCCTATAGCCGTGTTGGTATTATGTATACGACGTAGGTAGGCGCGAGGGTGGGCGCGCGCGAGAGAGATATTTGACGATAAAACGTGACGCATATGCCTGGACGTTTATGTATATATACGAGCGAATATTATAAAGCTCGGAGGAGCAGAAGTAGCAGCAGCCGAGTGCTCGTGGGGTAGTCAAGGCAAATACATACACATCAAGCCCTGCCTGCCGAGGCTTGTTATAATCGTCGCGGCGCGAGAGGGTGGAATTTTCACGCCGCGCGTGTCGGAAACTTATCGAACGCTTCTCGCGACGACGTCTGCTGCTGCTGACGGCATAGGTGCACAGTGGCTGCAGAAGAGATCTCGCAGCCTGCAGAGATGCAGTCGTCATCGTCGGCGGCGGCAGCTGCTGCTGCTGCTGTTGTGCCTGCAGCTTACCGCGAATTATTATCATCGCTGTCGCTGCTGCCACTCGAGTAGATTATAACAGAGAGACAGAGACTGTCTCGAACGAGCGTGAAAAGAAGGAGATAGCGTGCAAGCCGCAAGAATACGACCGAGCATAAACTGACGCATACTCGGCACAAAAAGGAAGGACGAACGCTGTAATTACAATCGTGCACAAAGACAGAGTAGCAACAGCAGCAGCCTTCGCTTATGGACTGCGATTATTTTCATTAGGCTGTGCCAATTCATCGATATTTATGCATCCTCGGTGCTTCGTGGTGCCTCCAAAGCAGTGAACGTGTCGCGGCCTCTCACAGTTGTCCTATAGGCTCGAGTTTACCGATGGCATTCCAGAGCGTATACGTACGTACAGTGACAGTTGTCAATTGAATTAGCGCGTAGATGTTTATTAAAGGGAGTCGTCGATCGGAGACAGCAGCTGGACTGCGGCAGCCGTAAACATTGGCCCGAAGAAAGCGACATCGTCGCGCGATAATTGCCGAAAGTCGCCAAATACGAAATTGGAAAGCTATACCAAGCGAGGAGGAGCCCATATCGCACAGGCTGCAAATTGCGAGTAAGCCACGGGAACGGATAATCAGCAGCTCGCCAGCACGCCTCACAGCATAGCACAGTCGCTTAAATGCCTCTGCTATATCGTCGACCCGAGCCAAGGCCAACAAGCTGCATTACGTTGATGATGGATCCCCAGGAGGGCGGCGATCCGTCCTCGGGCGAGATGAGCGATCAGCTGAGCGACCTGTCGGTCGTCGACGTCTACGACATCGCCTCGGAGATCGGCAAGGAGTGCGAGAAGCTCATCGACACCTACGGCTCGGACTCGATCACCTCGCTCATGCCCAAAGTCATCAGCGCCCTCGAGCTGCTCGAGAATCTCGCCACCAAGAACGAGCGCGAGAACACTCAGGTGCAGGAGCTCACCGCCAAGATCTCGCAGCTCGAGTCCGACAAAATTGGCAAGGCCGAGGACAGGCAGAGATTCGAAAAGGTACGCATGCACACACACACACGCACACACACCAGTTGACGCACGTGCATATTACGCTAGCTAGCTACCGCGGTTATTTTTACTCGCTGTATTATTATTTCGCAGGAATTGGAGCAGATAGAGGAGCATTGGAGGCAGGAGTCGAGGGATTTATTGGACATGGTCACGAGATTGCAGGAAGAAAATAGACGCTTGGCCACTGTTATACAAGAATCCAGGAGTGACGTAGATCACGAAAAACAAGGTATATGTTACCGTCGAATAGTGCTTTTCCCCTTATCAAACCGACAACGCGTGACTCACCTGTTTATTACTTGTTCAGCTGTCCCGACGAGTCAAGAGGTGGACATCGCCGTACTTCAGCGCTTGAGGTCGATGATTGATACCCAACGAGAACAAATTCGCAGCCGCGACCGGGAGCTTTCACAAAAGAGTACCGAAATCGAAAACGTCAGTTTCCCGTACTCTCGATCGAAAAAAGCTCCGAAATTTCAAAATTGCCTCACTGTTCGTTTCGTTTGATTCTAGTTAACTAATCAGGTGGACAAATTGACGGTGGTGGGCAGAGAATTGAAGCGCAAACAGAGACAAGCTCAAATGCAGGCGCGAGGACTCGTCGAGGAGCGCGCCGATTTTCTAGCACAACTGCAGGATCAGAATCGCGAACTGATAAACCTGCGGGCGAGGCTCGGCCTGGCCAGAAAAGAAAACGAGGACCTGACAAAGTGTCAACAGCCTTATCCCGATCTGTCGAACAAAGCCGTGTACGATCTGGACGATCCCGACAGGCCGCGATTCACCACGACCGAGCTCAAAGAGATACTGCACGAGAGGAACGAATTGAAGGCTCGGGTCTCCGATTTAGAAGACGAACTCGAGCTTTATCGACCGAAAGCTCAACCGTAAGTTGGTCTTTTGGTCTACATTTGAGCTTTGAACTTGAGTTTTTTTCATCGATTCTCCCTTTTATAGTCCTGAAGAAGAAGACGCACCCGTGCAAGGACCATTGCCATACGAGCCGGACGATGCGCCCTGGAAAAAATCTTCCGAATCTGGTATTCGCAAGTTGTAAGTAGAATAATTCTCTTGAAATTATAAAAGAATGCAACTTTAAACTCGAAAAATGTGGTTCAGTTTCAGAAAAATATTTTCCGAGACAAGTGGAAGCTTTTTGGGTGGAAATAGTCCTCGGCGAAGTCTTTCTAGTCTATCGAAAATGGCACTGTCTGGTAATAGTGGCGGCGAGACGTCGAGCTAATCGGCAATCCAACGCAATGAATGAATGAGTCGAAGAAAGCACATGTTTTTAAATGCCAAAAGAATTATATAGATATTTCAAAACATTCCCTTAGAGACAAGAGCCCGAAAAACATAGAGAAAATCAAATTAGGAACGTTTATAATCCTACTATTAGAGTTTTGTCTCTCAGCTGTCATATTCAATGATGTTCGTACGCGTTGACAGTTTATTCAATATATTACAATTATTAATTATTAGCAGATACTATATATATATTATATCTATTTCATATGTTCAAATGTGTATTTTATACGATATATTTATTTTGCGCGACGTTGTTATTAACCGGAAATGAACGATGTTGACAAAGTTATATCTTTAAAATGAATGTAAGTTATTTAAAGTCAATCTAATAACTAAAACAATTTGCAGATTTTAATTTTCGCTTTGTTGAGCAAATAACGAAACTAATAAATAAAAAGATGCATTTTTCAATTAATTATTTAGTAAAAAGTAAATTATTTATTTATAAGAAATTCTTTTTTAAAAAGTCATTACTTTTATTTAAAAACAGATTTGATGTTGTTTTCAAAAGAAATAAAACAATTTTTTTGATGAATTATAAAAAATTCACTTTTATGGCATATTTTTCAGTTACATAAGTGTCACATTTTGGCACCTCAGCGTGCGCTTATTTCACGTCGTGATGCTATAATGAGCAACTTATGTCTTAGATTATAGGGCATAAAAGTGAACTTCGCACAGTGTTACAAAATATTGTAGAACACTCGTGCCATGAGTAACACTTATAGACTCGCTTCACTCTGGGCCCTAAACTATACCCTGTCATTAAGTGCTACTTTTGGCACTAGTATCATAATACACGATTATGTATAGACTACTGTGTGATGGAAAGACATTTTGTAGAGAGTATTCAGCAATATTTTATAATCAATTTTTTTCTTCCGAGGTGCCAATATAGTTCTCAAAAAATATCCCTTCGTTATTTATTCTTCTATTCGATCGATTCGATTTATTCTTTTATTCTATTAGACAACTAATCTTCCAAGAAGAAATATTGTCCAGCTCTTTTCTGTTCCACATCCTGAAAAAAATTTGGTTTTGAGTAAAATTATATTTGCAAAGATAATAGATTATTTTTTATTATTCTACTGCGATGTTTTACCTTCACGGATTGGCTCTTGTTTATTCGAGGGCGGAAGTTGTTTGGATCTCTTCTGAAAGTGATACCTAATAATTCTAAAAATCTATTCATTCCATTTAATAGGGATTGTGGACTGTGCGCTACCGTCGTCATAGACGGGGTACCAGAGAACACTATCACACGATCTGCCAAATATGTAGCCATGATGAAATCGTGCTCAACAACAAATCCAGTTTTTTTAGCGTGCAGAATAAATCTTAAAATAAAATACAAAATTATAAGTATTTCGAACACATTATTTGAAAATATGTTATTGTGAAAATTAATTTACCTTTTGATAACTTTAGCGGCAACTAAACGCTGTTCGGAATCCAAATAAGCTGACGGTTCATCAATTAGGTAGACATCAGCCGGTTTACCTAAGCATAGAGCCAAGGCAACACGTTGCAATTCACCACCAGACAAATTTTGAACTTCTTGATCTATGATGTCATCAATTTTTAATGGTTTCATAACATCTGTGATGAACTGTGGATGGATGTATGCATCGCGAATCTTTTCGTGAAGTAATTGTTTGACAATTCCTTGTGATTTTGGACTGATTTTCTGAGGTTTGTAACTGATGTGCAGCATTGGTAATTCAGCTGAGCCACTATCTGGGGTTATATTACCAGCCAACATTCTAATAAAAGTAGTTTTACCAGTACCATTTTCTCCCAGCAAAACTAAAATTTCGGAGTCAGTAAACTGTCCTCTCTCTACTTCTAAATGGAAGTTACCCATAGTTTTTACCATTGCTGGATATTCGTAATGGCTCATTCGTTTAACTTCTTCTTCTGTGGCACTTTCAGCTACTTTGAAAACAAGTGATTCTTCTCTGAATCGCAAATTTTCTGTTGGTACAAATCCATCAAGGAAAATATTAATTCCTTCCCTAACAGAGAAAGGCATAGTAACTACTCCATAAGCACCAGGAACTCCATACAAACAACAGATGAAGTCGGACAAATAATCTAATACAGATAAATCGTGCTCAACAACTATAATAAACTTATCAGGATGTATCAAAGATCTGATAGTAACAGCAGCATTCAAACGTTGCTTGACATCAAGGTACGAGGATGGTTCATCAAACATAAAGATGTCACCATCTTGAATGCACACCATGGCGCAAGCAAAACGTTGCAATTCTCCACCAGATAAAGCCCCAATTTCTCTGTCTCTAATGTGTGTCAAATCAAGCATTTCACAAATTCTCTGTTGACTTTGAGTTTCATCTTTTTTGTCTAATAACTGTTGGACTGTTCCTTTGACAGCTTTGGGGATCTGATCTACATACTGTGGCTTGATCAAAGCTTTCAAATTATCCTCCAAAATTTTGGTAAAATAATTTTGTAATTCACTACCTCTAAAGTGACTCAAAATATCTGTCCAGTCTGGTGGGTCCTATTAAAAAATACACAAATAATAGAATGTATCAATCAATCTTCAAATGACTCTGAATGAAAAAACCTTCCAAAACAAGCCAAAATAATCATCAGATAATCACCTAATAAAATATTATTAGCATGATTTTTGACTATATTTTAAGAAAGTTTAATGATTAAAAAACTCTGTTATCTTACAGTGAAGCGACCCAAGTTGGGTTTTTGTTTTCCAGCTAGAATTTTCAATGCAGTTGATTTACCAATTCCATTTGTTCCAACTAATCCAAGTACTTCTCCTGGTCTTGGTATAGGAAGCCTATGCAATTTGAAGGAATTTTTTGAATATCTGTGGGTTGTTTCTTTTTCCAAATTACTTGGTAAATTGATGATTGAAATTGCTTCAAATGGGCATTTCTATATAAAAAAGAAAAAACAATTAGATTTTTTTTCTAGAACAAAAATTATTTCTTTTTCAAAGCTCTTACCTTTACACAGATACCACAACCAATGCACAGTTCTTCTGAGATTGATGCAATTTTGCTGTTTGGGGTAACTTCAATGCAAAGTTTTCCCATACGTACTACTGGACAGGACTTTTTGCATTCTTGACGACATCTTTTTGGCTTGCATTTATCAGTATTGACAATGGCTATTCTGGTTAGCTTATCGGTTTCCTCTGTTGCACGTTTTGGTGGCATTTTGACGAAGACTTATCAAGCACTGCAATAGAGCCCTGGAAATGATACATATTTTTATTGCACATCATATGTTAGGATATTATAAGTTGCTAAATAAATTATAATTATTTATTAGACAATTTGGAGTTAAAAATGATTTAAGTCAAGTACTAGTTGTCATCAACAAATTTAAGGGTTGTGATAACAAATCCAGATTTTCTTAAATAAAAAAAATTTATTGATAAATTTTAGGTAATGTTTGAACATCTGGATGGCAATGTGATTCTCACTATAAATTCTAACCTGCAACAACACACTACTTCTCAACTCTTTTATTCTAAAAACACTGAATGGTTTTTTGATATCCGAAAATTTCGTAAAAAGAGATTCCACTGAGCGGAATCGTCACGTGGTGCAAATATTAATCAGAAAAGTTTGCTTAATAAATTGTACTCACTCGTCAAATAAAAACGTGGGCCACCGAACTCAAATTTTTGAGAAGTGGACGAGGCCAACGATCAGCGTTGCGGATAACGTTTCTGGTATGTATGTATGGCTGCCGTCGTTATTGGCTTGTAGTACTGCCAACGTAAACCATAAGCGGTAAAAACGAAATCATTCACGACTTCGCGGCTTGCACACTATTATCATTCACGCCGCTCGCGTCTAGATTGGCAGTGCGTCGGCTAAAGCAGACTCCTTATGCCGGAAATTGAAATGTTTTGCAAGACGACAAGCGTACTTGGCAGACCGTCCCATTACCATCATAACTCATGCTGCTCCAAATTGTTGAGCGTTGATTATGAGAAAGGGAATGCTAGATTAGAGTTCCTGTGTAATATTTATCATGCTGATAATACTATACAATACTTAATTATTGCTGAGTGATGAGATATTTTTAATTTTCTCTCGAAAAATTGGGTATTCGCTGACCGGTATCTGTTATTTATTTATTCCAATTAATTTTATTTCATTCGGCTGATTTATTAAAATTAGAATAAAATATTTGCATTAATCGTACTGATTGGCCTTGTAATCGAGATCTAATAATCATACGAGATTGAGGACTAAAAACGTGCCCCCCTCTCCGAGTTTTGAATTCCACACTTTTCGGGGATTACAATTCTGCTTGGCAAACATCCTGTGTGTCGTGCGTTGCGGGCTCAGTAGGCACTCATATGTGAGCCGCATCGTTAGCGGTTGTGTGATATTCAATGATTCCATACGACGAAACTTGAACCTCAAATTCATTGTCAAAGTTGTAATTTCTAGTTTATATCTTCTTTTATGTTACAAACGTGTTAGTGCACGCGATATTATACGTTGTCTGATTAATTTAATTGTCTTAATTTTTGTTCGTGATATAATTAATCGTATACATAAGTAGACGTGCGGGTCGCAAGTATAACTGTTACCCCCGTCGAAGTGTCATTTATTTTTTGTTATCATTGTCAGATATATATATTTTAATTAGTTGTAATTTCGTTAAGATGTTTCTCGTGAATTGTATCAAATTATTGGATTAGTGCAGTCTATTGAAAATTTATTAGTACAAGCGTGTGTGTGTGATATATTTATTCTGTTTTGTGTATATTGTGATTGTGTACACGCGTTTAATCCGGAGCGAAATCATCAAAAGTATTTTCCGTGTAAAGAATATTACTTTCGATTTTCGTACTTTCGTGTCTATCTGCTTTTAGTAGCATTTAAAAAAGTACCATGATTATGAATGAATTGAGAAAAAATGTGGCTTTTGCCTGTGTTACCGTCGGCCTGGTACTGCTTGCCTCGAAGTACCGCAATAACGTGCTTCAGAGCGTGCAGCATCTTTGCCAAGGCATCACGAAAAGCCGCAAAAAATCTAAAGATCAGAAAGACAAAATGATCGGTCAGCGTCAAGACACACTTTTTTCATTGGACAAGGTTATTTTGGCCGATACCCCAGAAAAGTGTGATTATGCTATTCAACGTATTCACAGGTAAACTATCTGTTTTGTAAACATTGACTGATAAGATGCTTCACCTTAATCTATAACTTGTAGAAATTGACAATACTTCTATGTGAGCTTGAGTTTCAATCATGATTATTATGTTTACACTTAATTTCAATCAGATTCCATGAGAAAATAAATTTCATAATGATCGACTTCTTGTTCCTTTCAGAAACATGTCAGATGGAGTCCTAGGGTTTGATTGCGAATGGGTTAATGAAGGTCCTGTCTCACTGATACAACTATCTACTCGTAATGGAGTGTGTGCATTGTTTCGCTTATCTAAATTAGGCCATGTTCCTAATAAACTTAAGGTATAGTTGATTCATAAATATATACAATTTTTGTTAATTAAAAGAATAATCTTTGCTTTGTAGGAGTTATTGATGAATCGAAGACTAATAAAAGTGGGTGTAGGATGCTTCGATGATGGAGAAAGAGTAACCAAAGAGTATAATTGTCAAGTTTTTGGAACTGTAGATGTCAGAACCTTAGCTAGCCACTTTTCATTACCATGTCCTGAAAGTCTGTCTTCTCTCTGTATGGAATATTTAGGAACTGAAATGGTGAAAGTTCGAAGTGTCAGATGTGGAAATTGGAATGCTGAAGAACTCAGTACTGAGCAGATAGCTTATGCTGCTTATGACGCTCATGTATCTGTTCTAATTTTCTATAAGGTTAGAGGCTTTTCATAGTGCTTATGCATTTCATCAAATTAGTTTTTAACTATTTTATTCAAATTTTAGATTCTGCAAAGAGTCAGACAGAACAGATCATTGTGGAAAAGTTTAATATTATATATTAAAAACATGCAGAGCCATAGCAGGCAGGATGGATTATATGATTTACCATTTTCAACTATTGACACGAGGTAAAAATAACAAAAATTTAATATTTAGACATAAGTTAACAAAAAATCAATTGAGAGTACTAAATTATAAAAAAATTTCTGAATAAATCTATTAAAAAAAATTTAGTCAATACTGTAAGTTCATCAAATTGGTTGCATTAAATAATATTTAAACAAAAAATATTACTTTTTATAATTCTGTTTTGTATAGCTTACAGTCCCAAACATTTTATAACATAAGCAAAAGAAAATAAGTGAAAGAATTTTTCATTAATAATTTATACTGATCATGTGATATTTTTCAGGTTCAAGAGTAGTTGGTATAAAAGAGTAACAAACACACAGAATGAAAATGTTTCAAATAATATAGTTCAAACAATTAATCGTACTAATGATCAAGTAATTAAAAAAATTAATGATTCTGAGCCTAAATCCAGTGTACCTACGAGAAATAAGCCTTTGTACCATAATTGTTATTTGCAAGCACCTGATGGTGATATTTTGTGTACATGTGATAGAAAGAAAGCTGATTGGTATGTCTCGAAAGGGCTTGGAGAAGTGGTTTTAGAAGATCCCTTCACTGTAAAATTGAAGTTTGAACCATCAGGACGTGCTTTAGGAGATGTTGGAAAGTACTACACACAAGTTAAAGTCAACCAGTGTGTTGTTTGTGGCTCTGATGAAAAATTTGTCAGAAAAAATGTTGTTCCTAGAGAATACCGTAAATACTTTCCTTGTAAGTATCTCTAACCAAGCAATTTTTTAGCTTTTTGATGTTTATATTATTGTTATTATTATGAAATGCATTATTTTTCAGTGGTTATGAAATCTCATCAATCACATGATGTTTTGCTATTATGTCCATCGTGTCATGAAGTTAGTAATTGCCATGACTTACAATTCAGAAGAAAATTAGCATCATTGTGTAATGCTCCTTTAGTTTGTCCGGTACAAAAGAAAAACGACGACCGCTCCAGAGAGTGGCAAACATTAAAATCAGCTGTGAAAGCACTGAAAGATGGATCCAACATACCTCCAGGACGAAGAAGAGAATTAGAACATTGTATTCAGCAGTATTCAGGTTGTGATTTTATCACATCAGCCTTATTAAAAAATCTTGAAGAACAGCTATATAAGAAAATTTCAGTAAATGATGCTAACTCTAATAAACCAAATTTTCCTCCTCACGGGCAAAAAGTAAGTAACAAATTCAAAGAATTCTTTGATCAAAGATTTTGTATACATAGTAATTTGCATCTCTATTTTATTCAGGTTGTGCAATTCTTTGAAAGTCAAGAAGGGGGTCTTGTTGAATTGGAAAAGTTATGGCGAGAACATTTTCTAACCACAATGAAGCCAAAGTTTTTACCAGAACTTTGGTCAATTAGTCATAATCAAGAAAGATTGAATATCCGCCAATCTCAAAACAGGATAGAGCCATCAGATGCCAAAGTAGCTGGAATTCGTTAATATTAATTATAAGTAATTAGTAGAAAATAATTGTACCTGAAAAAGTATTTGTAAAGTAGCAATTACTTTTTACCAAAAGTATTTGTAAAGCAGCAATTACTTTTTACCAAAAGACTGCCATAAAATTAAATTTTATAGACCAATAATAAATTACAATTTCTTGCGAGAGATGTTATTTTTAGAAAAAAAATATTGTTTTTATTTATATTTTACTTTCAGCCCAACAAACAACATTTTTACATTCATTGTGGATGCAAATATTCAATTCAAGACAAAGATGTCATTCCACAATTGATGATTTTATTATATAATAAAACTAAAGATTGTAATAATATTTACAAAGAGCTATGAAACAATTAACAAGAATTCAAGACTAGGTAAACGTCAGCGAGCCGAGGCCGAATCTTGCTTCGTTTCATCCGATTTTGGTGGCGGCTTCGACTGAGTTGCTTTTATTTCTTCGTCTAATCTTTCCTTAGCTCGAAAAACTTTAGATTGTAAGTAAAAAGAACCACCTTTGGACCTGTCATTTGCTTCCATGAGATATTTGTAATTTCGCTCGATAACATCGACTTGATCTGGCTTGTCAGCGTTCAGAATTCTTAACGCCTCGTCCAGAGTCAAACCAGTCTTTGTGTTGGCGGCCACCCTTTGCGATCCTTGTTGTCCACCACCTGCTCTTTTAGCTGCTTCTTGACTAGCGGCGATTTCTTGTCGCAGGGCACGAGCGAAAGCTCGACCGACCATTTGAGTGCCCAGCACGATGATCTGAGCGAGATATTTTGCCATTTTCACTCACTCGTTGGTCTCCTGCGGCGTAAAAAACAAAAAGTTATACATTGCTATGAAATTGAAATGCGGCCAATGTACGAGTTGAAAGTTCGCAAACGAAATGATTCTAACCTCGTTATCGTTACAAAGTCAGAGGAGAGAATGGTTTTTTAAGTGAACGTTCGATTGATTAAGAACAACTCGGTGTTACATCACGAAGCACTAGTTGCACTTTACCGTAAATATCACACACGATTCATTTTTATGAACTGTCATTGATGTAAACTTACGATTTTAGAGCAGAAATCAAACAGCAGCACGTGAACACTTGAACAAATTTCGTCGACTAAGATTGCATCGCAGACGGCAAATTATACTGCGGTATGCTCACCACGACGGACGGTCAGCTGTCAGCCTGTCATTGCCCCTTCAAGTTTTTAACTAAAAATTGACATGTATTGTTTCACAATATGGCGTTAATTGCACGATCATAAACAAGGAACAATTTTTATTTCAAACATGGACTATTTTCTAAAATTTTACTTTTAATTGTATTCAATCGGGAAAATTTTGATTTAAATTTCATAAACGTTATCTGTTGCGTGACTTATTTAAAATTAGTTATTAATGTTCAATCGTTCAATATTACCTCATTAAATTATTCGAATAGTTTATCTTTTAAATCAAAATTTATGTACCTTACGGTCTTGCATGAAATTTGCAACCAAATTTCAAGCGTGTGCATCCCACTTCATAAATTCGTATTCCGATATAGTTTTCCACGACATATATGCACTTCGTTGCCTATTTCAGGTTGTCGGTCTGTGGGTACCATCTACACTCATACGGTGTGAGTTGTTATTGAAGATAATCCGTGATCGTATCGATTACTTTGTTATATTTCTCAGTGAAAACTAATGGTTTTTTATGAGAACTTGAATCGTACGTTAAATAAATGTATTTATTTTTGATTTCGTGAGTCTAAGGGAGAAAATTTCATTCATGAATTTCCGTACAAAAATAAATTAGCTTATCTGTGTTGTTTACATTGGTTGTGATCGATTTTTTAAATAATCATGGCGAATAACGATTTGAACGATGACTTCAAGGGTCCAAGAACATATGTAGAACTATTGAAGGAAATATTAAGTCCAGAGTTTGAAACTCATACCACTAGAGAGCAAGTTAGTTTATCCTTTCTTATCTTTTCTTGTTGTGTATTTTTTTCTTCAATATATCATTTATGTTTCAGAGCAAAGTTGAAAAAAATGTGCTTGAGTTATGCAAAGTTAAAAAACCATTATTATCCAGAAATAGACATATTAGTTATTTAAAAAAATCAATCACACATCTTTCGAAAAATTATGAGGTTTGTTTATACCTATTCTTCTTTCAATTTTCAATTTTACAACACTTGCTTTAAAATAATTTTTTTTTTGCAGGCTTTAGATTGCAGCAGACCATGGATATGTTATTGGACATTGCATTCACTTGAATTATTGGGCGAAAGATTAGACGATGATCTTTGCTCCAATGTTGTTCAGTTTCTAAATAAGTGTCAATCACCAACTGGAGGATTTGGCGGTGGTCCTGGACAAGATGCTCATTTAGCATCGACTTATGCTGCAGTTAATGCTCTTTGTGTAATTGGTAGCAGAGAAGCTTATAACATTATTGATAGGTAAATATCAAAAGCTAACTATATCCGAAAGATTAGATACAACAATTTTTGTGTTCAGGGCAAAAATTATTTTGTACTTTGTTCTTTCCGAAGTAACTGCTTATCATTCAGAAATGTGAATAAATTCCATTAATAATCTAATGTGTGCAGGCAAAAAACTTATGAATTTTTAAAATCACTACGAACAGATGAAGGAAGTTTTCATATGCACGTTAATGGTGAAATGGATATAAGAGGAGTTTATTGTGCTTTAGCAGTGGCAAAATTACTTAATATTTATACACCTGAATTATTCAAAGACACTGAAAAATGGGTAGCAAAATGTCAAACTTGGGAAGGTGGATTCGCTGGATGCCCAGGAATGGAGGCTCATGGAGGCTACTCTTTCTGCGGATTAGCCTCTCTTGTTATGTTAAACAAATCAACTGTATTTAATTTATCTGCATTTATAGTAAGTATTATATTATTTTTTTATAAATTTAAGGAGTTATATGCAAACAACGATTTTGAGTTATTGAATTTTGATTAATATTATTAATATTTTTAGCGCTGGATTGTTAATAAACAAATGCGATTAGAAGGAGGATTCCAAGGTAGAACCAATAAGTTAGTTGATGGTTGTTATTCATTTTGGCAAGGAGGAGCTTTTCCTCTTATCAATTCAATTTTAGCTGCAGAAAGTAAAACAAAAAATTTAGAAGCTTATTGGATGTTTGACCAAAAAGCACTTCAAGAATATCTTTTAATATGTTGTCAGGATCCCTTCGGAGGGATGTTAGATAAACCTGGAAAGTAAGAAAATGATTTTTGTTTTCTAAATAATATTTAATATTTAATTAATGATTGTTTTATTTTCAGGAATAGTGATATATATCACACTTGCTATTGCCTTAGTGGACTTTCAGTAGCCCAGAATTCTCCTGAAAAAGTTATTATAGAACCTTCTGAGGTGAATGCAGTTGAAGTAACCCATCCTGTATATAACATTGTTTTTGAAACTGCTATGAAAGCAATAAAATATTTCTCTTCCTTACCATTGCCTGAGAAATGAATAGAGTAACACATTTCACTTCTTTTATATTTCATATATAAATCATGATGATTACTAAAACTTGTAACTAACTGAAAACTTTGAGTGAAAAAATGTGCAATTTTTCTTACGACTGTTAATGTACATTTTTACTAATGAAGATTCAAAGAATCAAAAATTATAATCAATTGATCAAAATTGTACTATGTCATAAACAAAATTCATTAAAATTTGACTATTTTTATAATAAAAAATGAACATGGAAATTAAAATTTTCTGATTAATACGAATACGAAATTGAATTAACTTCATTTTTAAGTACTTTACATTATAAAGTCATACGTTATTTAATTGTTATTAGTTGGTAATAAAGTACTATGAAAGTGTTTGTATAAAGAAGTTTTAAAACCCATAATTTTGTTTTGTATCAAGAAATATGTTCAAATAAAGAAGTCCAATTTTTAAAATTTGTATTTTATTTTAACAGAACGCTTACAAAGAGACAAAAACTCTACGTAGGCGTTAAAAATTTTGTTCAATATTACAATTGTTTAATATTTTAGTGTGCTCATTACATACTTGAGAACAATATACTGTTTTTTTTTTCATTCAATCATAAGATTCATTGCAACACACAAAGAAATATACGTTCTTAAGAAAAAGACAAATGGCTGTAAAATATTTATTTCTCACACAGACACACACGCTCGCATTTAACGCAACACTATAAACTATGAACGAAATTATGTTTTTCGTAGCACACAAGCCTTCAATTCATTGTAATCGGACGTTACAATAACCTTCGGAATGTGAACTTAATGAAAAAAAAATTCAATGCATCATTGATGATTCGTTAATGTTACAAAAAATAACATCCTTAAAACTATTCTTTATTTGGTTTCCTTCTTCGTGTGTTACTCGAATTTGATGGCTGCAAAATTTTTAAAAACATTAATTATCAAATAAGCACGTTACTTAAGATATGTTTAGAATATTTTTATTACCTTTGATGGAATAACTTCTTCAACAACTTCAACTTCCTCTTCAGCTTCTTCTTCCTTTTCATCTACGACCTCCTCACCTTTTTCGTCATCCAAAGTTTCTTTTGAAGTTGACGCTTTTACATCATCATTTTCTAGTAATTGATCGTTTTCTCCATCTGAGTCCTTTTCTTTTTGAGGGACTTTATTATCCTATATTTAAAAAATCGAAATTTGTTTAATGAGTTATCTTAAAACCAATGAATTAATTGGTCTAAATGAATCTAGCACTAAAATAACTAGCACTACATTGTACCTGACTTGTAAAGCAGCAACAATAAATAATAAGCATTACAGGTATGCCTAGCGCTATAATGTATACAGTCCATATCCATGGGTTTTCAGCGGTGAAATTTACAATTCCTTGCCACAATCCAGACTAAAAAAAAATACAGCCACAAGGTTTAAATAGTGATAATTTAATTTCTATTATTTAAAGATATAATTTTCAATGTATTGTGAATAACAATATGCGGGTCAACAAGCTTAGTTTTAGTTTTTGCTATTACTTTTTACTTTTGTAATTTTTACGAATCAAATAATATTAAGTACGACTTTTCATTTTGTGTGTACCTCACGTGCTCGAGAAATGAGGAAACACGCATAAACACATATAGGAATAGCACAATATATGAAATAAGCAGCCCACCATCCAGGCTTGTAATTCATCATCCTCATCATTTTACCCCAAAATGTTACCTAGTTTTTTCAGTTTATATAATTTGATTTTTAGGTTTAATTTAGAATATCTTGCACAACATTTTTAATCATTATTAATCAATCAAGTAATGTATGCTGAAAAATATTTACCGCTTCAGTCGCGATTCTCTGTTTACGAAGATCAAAAGTGTCTTCAGCCCACTTCTTAGCTACCATCTCATCGTCGGTAACAATGATGTTATCAAACAGAATATCAGGTGAAATAGACCACAATTCAAATCCAACAGCATACTAAAATTATAAAATAATATTAATTAGTTAAATCATGAATCATTTGAAATAAAAGAATGTAATTAGTATAGTATTTACAATAGGAGTCATCTTGAAAGGATGTTCATCATTGAAATAGTCTGGATTGTGAATCAACTTAGGCTTCCACTTTCCTTTGTAGCTGGGATTGTCAATTAGAGGGGGCAACCATTTACCCTTGTAGTTAGGATTGGGGATGAGTCGTTTTTTGTAAGGACCACAGCCGGAAATTTTTTCGCACTTGGGATTTGGAATCTCTGGTGGTTCCCACTCGCCATCCATATCATCGTCCCAATCTTCTGGTTTGACCGCATCGGGATTTGGTATGTTAACGGGTTCTTCTTCGAGCCAATCTTCGGGCATCGAGTCATTTTCATCGACGATTTGAGGTGGAGCATCTTCGTCCCAATCTTCGGGTTTGACAGCATTAGGATCTGGTATTTTTTCTCTTTCATCCCAGTCCTCGGGTCTCTTGTCATGAGGATCTTCGATCTCCAGCGGTGGATTTACAGGAGGCTGGAAGTCGTCCAAAAGGGAGCCTTCATTGACGACTTTTCCGTCAACTTTGATGACAAAGCTGTTGTCAGGGCGTACGATCAAAGTGTACAAGTGCGGTTGTTTGTCTTTGAAGAAATCTTCCAACCTTTCTTTAGGCTTATTGGCGTGCTTTTCTTCAATGGATCCATTAAGAGGGTTCTTGTGTCTAAAGATGAAGTGAAGCTGTAAAAAAAAAAAAGAAACGTCGAGTTAGTTTGAAATATTTTTTTACACGTTATATTTTGCCACGCGCTTGTGAAAAGATGAATTTTAAAAACGAGCAGAAAGTGTTTTTCAAACTGCTTACAGCAAAGATCATTCGTTCGTAACTGCGAAAAGTATACGTTGCCACACTAGCTCGCGTTGAGTTAAGGTAACTTGGTAATACATTATAAATAACTCGAATCACTTATCTGCGTCATAAGTTTTGTCGATAATATGTATGTCTGAAGTAAATTACCTTGTGATCGTTGCCGCACTTATCAGGCCCAAACATGATAGTGTAAGGGGTTTTATCATGGAAGTCGTTGAGATCGGCGTGCTTAGGATCGGACGACAAGAGTTTGAGGTAGGCACCACCGCACTCCTGGCCCTCCTGGAAAATCACCTCGTACTGGACGACGAGGGGCTTGTCCTCGAACTTGAAGGGCTTGCTCAGCTTCTTGGAGATGGCCGCGTGACGGGCTCGGCTCTTGAGCACGAGGCCCAGATTGCCGCTCTCGACTCCGCGTTTCGGCTCCTCTAGAAGCCATTTTCCTGTAAATTGCAGTAGATAAATGAGGCCGGCTCTCGCAGTCGATTATATTCATCGTTCGAGTCGTTAAAAAGGCTAATGAGCGGACATTGCGACAGAGAGACAGTCGCGATAAATATTACAAGGTATGCACATGCATATAAGCAGGGGAATTTTCGCCGCTCTCAGCGCGAATCCTTTCAAAACCGTCGAGGTTGAAAAAAAAAGAAAGGCCAGACCGGCACACATTGATATTACAGCCGCGTGCGTATAAACTAACACAGACAATGTGCGTGTCGCGTTAGTTTTCCATATAGTTGTCTATCCGACTGTTTTTCTCTTTCGTACTCGCGAGTCCGGAGATGTGCGAGCGTTATTATAAGTACACATCCGTTCTCCTGCGCTAAACTTAGCCGCGAACGCGCGTCGAAATTTCGAGAAATACACGCGCTACGACCTGGCCTAGTGCCATATCGCGTCGACCAGGCAATTCCATTCCTCATATTATATTATAAACGAGAACAGCTCATCCGCTAGTCCTCGTCATGGGCGTTCGCGCGAAATTCGCAAAAACAAAGGAGCGAAAGACAGGCGCGTTTGGTAATTTAACTGACTAATTCGACGCAATGATCTGACACGCGGCATATCTCGCGCACATCGTCGTGCTCCGATATCATTCGTGGATTGGCTGCGGTGCTCGTTGCAGCGATAAAATGTCGCTCTCCGCCGGTGTGTGTCATGCATATTACACGTTCATATGAACGCCTATAAAGAGGGAGAGAGAGAAAGATATGGCACCGCCACGCAGCATCGATATGCGAACACGGTGCGAGCGCAAAAAGTCCGAGAGAGAGTGTACTACGGATACGTAAATCTATATCGGAGCAAACCAACTAAAGATTGCATATGATATACCTAACGTGTGTATATTGGACACGGCTAATGTCCGTAGATATACACTCAGCTTGTGTATGCATATACCTCTGTAAAGTATGACAACGCTCTGCCGCTGCTTTACTGCTCTAATAATGTGGCACTGCGCCGGAAAGAAAAGCCCCACAAATGCTCTGTGCTCTGTGTGACTCTCCTCTATGTGTGTACGTATGTAATGTGCATACATTTGTGCGAGTGCGCGCTCTCGTATACACACAAAAGTGTAACATCCCTTATATATATCATATATACGTTACGCGCGCACCACTACTCGCGCGGCCGGAGCGCGATCATCCCCCAAGTTCAGCTTCGATTACTCGGCACTTTTCTTGGCTGTATATAGCGGCAGCTAGCACTAGCCTACGTGTAATGTAGGACAGAGAAAAAGATGAAGCGAGAAAGAAGGAGGCAGGGGGAAAAAAGAAGCGAAACACGAAAAAAAAAAAACGACCGATAGACGAGCGAGAAAAAAATATAAAATAAAACAATAATGCCGCGAAGCGAGCGAAAAAAATGTCGCAAATGAATCTGATTTTTTCAGGTAGCGATTAGGGCCGACCGTATGCAAGAAAATTGATGCTAAGTGCGTACTCGATAAAACAGTCGCAAAAGTAAGTTAAGGTGTTGATGAAACTAATCGATAAACCCTGAAGTATGGACGGAGCTTTGCGGGATGCGTTTACACTGCTGCGGTTTTGAATAGTCGACACGGGGGCAAGAACCCTGTACGCAATGGCAAACGTTATTAAAGTAGGTCTCTTACCGTCGTATTTGGCGATGTCCTCGTCGATTCCGTCCTTCTTGGCCTTGGACTGGATCCAGGACTTGGCGAATTGGTCCTGATCGTCGAAGTGCTCGGCCAGGAGTACGTGGCCGCTCGGCTGCGGACTGGCGTAGGGGGTCTTCTGCTCGACGAGCAGCTCCTCGGGCTCGTCCTCGACCACGGCCGCCTGGGCTTCGTCGTCGTCGTCGTCCTCGTCCACGTCCAAGTCATGGGCGCGTACCTGATGATGCTGACTGCTGATGGTTAGCAAAAAAACGCTGGCGAGCAGCAGGAGGCTCAGTAGGATTGGCCTGCTACGAGCCATGACTGCCTGCGGAGGATGTACAACGCACACTCACACACAACACACTGTACGGCAGATGAGCACTCGGCACACTGCACACTGTCTCACGGCACACGTTCGAGTCAACGAACTCTCTCTCTCTCTCTCTGTCTCTCGGTGCGTCGTCGACGATAGACGGATGGACGACGGATACCAAGTCGAGTCCCGGCTGCCGGTGGGTGCGATGTACACACACTAACTAACTATAATGCTAAAATCTATATGGTTAGGCTCGGCAAGAGTAGTCGCGGTGGCGACACTGGTCGTTGTATTCCGTATACGCGGCGGCTGCGACGACGCCGACTATGCGTATCGCAGAGTGGAGTGAGCTGCTGCTGCGAAGTGGCGGCCTCGCGTATCACACACATTCAACGAGTCCAAATGTACAAACAGCCAAGAGGCGAGCTGGCGACGACGAAAGCCGCGAGTCGAAAAGTCGAGACGCGCTGCAGAAATATCGTGCTGTACACGTCGCGCCTTTTCAAATTCGATCGTCGTGCAGTGCTTATTACGCCGACTGCTCCGTTCTGCGCTCTCGCGCGCTACCCTATCGCTCGCCGCTCGCGATCATTATTATTGTTATGCTTATATTATTACATATATCGCGAGAGCTGCACCTTTTCTCGCACCTTCGGCCACGAGCAATCTCTCGACTGGTTCTCACTGCCGCGATCAAGTCACGGAGACCGTCGTGTCGCCCGTTACTACCTTCGTTGCACTCTTGTACTCGAGCGCTCCTCTTTTATTTATTTATATTTGTATTATTTTGCCTTTCTTTTGACGATGCGATAGTTTCGCGAGCGCCGCCGATAGTGGTGCATTTTACGCGAGACTCGCTCGCACGTACACGTAATCGACCCGTACTCCGTGTATAGTATATAGGATGTACGTTCAGTGGCTGCGTCACACGCACGTATATCGCACACGCGTACGCGTGGAAGGGGTACCGGGTAACCGGGTACCGACCGTGAGGGTTCACGCACACTCTCTCGTACTATAACATGGAGTGAAAGAAAGACAGGGACAGATGAGCAAATACGTGCGTATTTGCATCTATCTCGTATCAGTCGGCAATGCAAACAGTACAACAAGGTGTATTCGGTTGCCGGCGTTCGTCGTCGTCGTCGTCGTCGTCGTCGTCGACGGGAATCATTGCCGAAAGCGGGTCGAAGTGGAGGGAGGCGGCGAACGCGCCAGCGAACGAATGGCAAATCGACACGCACCGACGTTCATTGGGCGCGCGACCGAATCAAATTGTCCGAGTGTTGAGTTGGCCACGTCGACAGCGGATTTTTCTCGATCAATTATTATTAACCGCGCGAGTCGTCGCGCTTGTCCGCGCGTAAACCGTGGTCGCACCCAAAAAAATAAATAAATAAATACAACATTTTCTAGGTAATCGGATATTTTGGAGTTTTGCGCCTTGCTCTCTTCGGGCCACTTTCGAATTATCTCGCTGTGCGGTCATTACCCTTCATACACGATGTTCGCGTATACCAACTCCAATTCTTGCTCCGAATTTTCGAACTTTCATTTACTACCGTGCTCCATATGTAGGCAGAATAAATTCACAACGGAAGCAACGTATTATCAAGCAGCGATATGGGCGAGTCGTCGTTGGCATATATCAGTACCTTGGCAGGTGTAAACGTGCACGCGCCGTAAACAACCGTTGCAAATTACGTTGAAGTAAAAAAAAAAAAAATTATGCTCGCGAGGATATGTTGCAGCAATCACCGCAGGCGAGCCGTTGCCATTGCTGTGTACTTTTTGCACGCTTGCGTAAAATCCACCATCGGCCATTGAATAAGTCATTCACTCTGAATTTTTATTTCTTGCTCCTGATAAGTATGGTGGAGTATCAGTCGATGTATTAACCATTCTCGTTAAGCCTTTTCTACTTTTTTTTTATCTGAAAGATAGTGCTTATGCATCTTTAACGAGGAGTTTTATCTCTATTGGCCTTGGAATGTTATTCACGAATATTTTTTTCATTAGTCCCAATAACTCTGACTCATATAATAATCTTGATCTACAGCTGCGAGTAGATTGAATTGTAAATTTTGGAAATGGTTTGTAGTTCAAAATTTGACTTTAAAAGGACTTTATAGTGTACTATCTTATCGTCTATTTTTGACAGTTTTGCGCTTTTAAAACCAATAAATAGATGAAATTTAGCATAAAGTGGCCTTTCATCTGGGAAATCATAAATGCTTCGTATCTTCGTACGATAAAACGAAGGAGCTTTTTCTACGCCAACTTGCGATAACTGCAGCTTTTCGTTCGAGTCCGTTAGATGCCGTTACTATATCGGACTAAAGCGATAGCTAAGTGTGCGTTTAAGTGTTGTATAAGCACTTAAATTTGGAAAGTGTCACCTGATAACGATTCGTTTCGATTGTAATGAATAATGATGAAGGTTACGAATGTTATTTATCGGTCTGTAATGAGTTAGAAAATTGAAATTTAATAAAGATACAGTTAATTAACCGATTCATTTCTGTACGTGTGGATTAGTATATCTTGCAAATCGATTGATTGTTTAATGTCCATTAGCATATTTAATTAGTTGTGCGCATTCTAATTCCAAAGTACTTCTTCAATTACTTCTTTAATTATTGAACAATAAGCATGATGATCTGCCTTTTGTTAAAGACATTAATCTCCATTTTATAACGTGATTATTTTCATTATGTACCTACATAATTACATAAAATAAATGCTCACGCCTATGGTATCCCATGAACTATCATATCAGGTTGTTGCTAAATTTTCGAATTTGTTGAAATTCCTGAATGAATGCTTTAACAATAGACCTTATTTTTATTGTATTGAGTCATAAGTTGCAAGCTTAAACTATAAAGATCAGCTAATAATTATCAAATTTGTAGGAAAATTGTATATACTTTTGTGTGTGAATTTTAATTAAATATATTATTTAACTTACCATGGAAGATTTATCATATTCTTGTGTCAAACTCTGGTCTTTGTAGATTATACGATCTTTTTAAAATATTACTGATTAATAAATTTAATTAAAAAAGTAGAATACCTGATTATGGGTCAATAGAGAAATACGGATTGAAGATCTAATAAAATAAATTTTTGTAAATTACGGTATCTTAATGACTAATTATCACTTTTAATATTAATAAAGATAGATAAATACTCATTTAGCAATTAAGAAAGTTGTAAAATGTATGACAACCGTAAGGCCTTAATGATTCGTTCAAGTTGTTTGTAAAAAAATTATTTTCAATAAAAAGATCAATCATATGAAGAAAAATATTTATGACAAATTTTAGAAGTTTACATTTTTTTAAGGAGTGATTTTTTGTGGTCAGCTAAATAATTTTGTTGCATTAAACTAAATAATATTAATGCATTAAGCTAAATAATATTGTTGCGTAAAAGTAGGATATACTGTGTGGTTATATGATTTGTAATTCATCGAAGCTTTTAAGCTTGAATAAACACAATAAAGACAATACCACAAACAAAAATTAAGTTAATATATAATGTACTTCATCGATCCAAGTATTTTTATACGTAAATTTAGAGTTTTTAGTTACATTTTTACAACGCTTCCGTTGCTTTTACCCGATAATATATTTTCTGGCTTCAATGGATATTTATACCGAAAAGGAATATCTCCTTTTTTCTCAAAAATGGGATATGCATTTTTCTTGGTGTTCAAGATTATTGAGACTCGCTTTCTTATATCCATTCCAAAACAAAAATTTAAAAATAATTGGAAACTCTACTCTCATTTTGTACATGTTGATTTCGCTCATTGTCACGGTACATATATAATACAAATAACGTGAAAATTAAAAAGAATAATCCAAAAAAAAATAGTAACAATCGCTACTTATAAAGGTACTGAGGATTGTTAAAGAGTTGAAAAATACTTCAAATCAAAGCACCATCTTACTTGAATCTACATTTCAATTGGTATCTTTTGTGACAATGATATTCGCTTACTTACGTTGGGCTATGTGTATGGAGAAGGTAGCATTTTTTTAAGCAGCAATTAAATCGCAATAGTACACATTGAGTATCGCAACATTAAAAATTATATCAACAGATTCGCATGTTAGCAAAATTAATGGTTCAAATGTGGTTGGCTAATTCTGAAGACGTTCAAAAGATTATGTTGAAACTAGCAAAAAAAGCTTACTTTTTTATTAATTTTCAAGCAAGTAAGAATACTTATATAAAGGCTTTAGCATCTACTAACTATTTTCCTTTTAGTGTCTCTTGTTATTTTATGCATTAGTTTCGGTATAGCGCCAGTAGTTATTCCGACCTTTTTGAATTCAGCATTTCCGGGCAATCAGAGTTATAAAAAAACTCTACCCCTTCATACGGAATTTTTCGTCAATGAAGATGAATATTTTTATAACATTTTGACCGGTCACCTTGTTTGTTTATTCTTGTATGGTGCGATGACTGGTGCCATGAATAATCTTCAATGTTCTGTCATAGGGTATAGTATTTGCGTCATTCGTGGTTTACAGTAAGTTATAGAATCAGAAGTTAAATCAGTAATAAATTTGATTATTAGTAAGTTTAAAAATATTTTTCAGATATTATTTGAAAGACATAAATATTAAGTATAGTACAATGATTTTAATTGATGAAGAGCATGCCAACTTGTGGGTGTACGACCAATTAAAAAAAGTTATTAGTTTGCACCAAACTCTTATCGAGTAAGATTATCAAACCATAACAAATTATTTATTGAATAAGTAGTTTATAATTTTATAAATTTTAGATTTTTTGAAATCCTACACGAAATAGCTAATCCTTTGATATTTGGCATTTTAATTGGTTGTACTTGTATTGTTGTTTTAACGACTACCTCGGTATGGATTAAATCATATTTGATGAAATAACATCATTGAAATATATGAGTATATTTATTGTTGTAGGTGGTAGTTTTAATAGAAACCGATTTTGCAGGAGCCATCAAAATGTTGTTTGCATTTTGTGTAACTATGTGTGCCATCACTTTTGTTTGTTTTCCAAGCCAATTAATCATAAATGCTAGTGATGATCTGTTATTTTCAAGGTATTATTTAAATAGTATCATTCAATAAAGTAACAAGATTAATTTAGTGATAATAATATATTATTTGATACATTAGTTATGAAATGAATAATCAAAGCTATCCACCGAGAGTACGAAAAATGTTATTATTTATAATGGTTAGATCTATGAAGCCTCTTGTACTGACTGCTGGACCAACCATAGAGTTAAATTTAGAAACCTGTAGTACCGTAAGCGTAATTTTTCTCGTCTTTTTTTCACGAATGATATAAAATTATGATGTTCCAATCTAATTTAATATTGTGATTTCAGATTATAAAATCGTGCATGTCATATGCGGCAGCTTTTAGATCATTCTATACTTCAGTGTAACTAGAATATATACAGAATTGAATAATCAAAATTTCAATTGTTAACTTAATAAATAATGATATTTAATTTTAATAATTCAACTTTAGATAAAATAAATACTTCGATTTTGATTTGATTAAAACGATAAAAATATTACTTATAGCTCGTAGTAAACAGCCCGTGCATATCAAAATCAAACGTAACAGACCCACCTTAGACTCACAAATTACAAAGTCATTCATTTATGCTTCATTGAAACATCTGACCACTGATATTCAATTACAAGAGGAAATAAGAGCAGTAATTGTGACGGTATCTTGTCAGTAACAAAAAAATCTTAAACTAAATTCAGATTTAATGTAAAATTAAAATTAAAGTAATCGATGTTGAATTTTATATAAGTTATTTCTATATGAAATTTTCGTTAAAAATTAATGTATAATTTGGTATTGATATATTTTTTTACAAACTCCATTTTTGTAAACTGCACTGAAAATGTTATTTTTGATGCACAAATGAGCTAAAATGATATAATTCTACATTTAAATTTATTTTTTGCGTTGATTGCTCATAATGTATGAATATTTAATGATAATTAATGCCACCAGATGGCGAGTGCCTTTATCTGTAAATCCGCAAGTGATAAAGTGATAAACATAATAGTACAAGTAACACAGCTACACGCAGTTATCAAAAAAATATCAATATTCGTCAGAATCTAAAAAATTGGATATTTTGTGCATTTAAAAATAATTATTGGTTTTTAATCATATTTTTATGTTAAGCTTCTGAAATGTGAATGAATGAGAGTGTCTGTAACAGATATGAGTTGATGATCGAAGTTCATTTAGTTTATTTTTCTAAACTCAAGGCACTCAAAGAAACTATTATGGATTGTACATCGTAGGACGAATTCACTTATTCCATGACGGCATCGCTCGAGCATGACCATATAAAAATTCTGAATTATGGGGTCGAGTTTATCTTCTCCGCAGAGATAAGGTATATACACGTGCCGGCAGTGGAAACCCCGTAAAAAAAGCCGTATATAGGCAAGCGTCAAGAAAGAAAAGGTTTTTCTTGTAATTCTCGAGGATTTGAGCGGCAATTGCCCGCTATATACGCGCTACTTTGCTGCATAAAAGGTATTTTTTACTTGGCGCGCGCGCAAGCCTGTTTCAGGTACTCAACTTCATCGCGAGGCTCGTTTACCTGTGAATTGCCTTTTTCGAGCATCTATTATTCTTTTGATTGATAAATAGACGCATGAAAATTAATCTTATTCAAGTATTTATTGCAGTAATAGATTTATAAAATTGAAGTAGGTTACTTACGCATTTAATATTATCAAAATCCCTCGATAACATTTCTAATCCTCCGTGGGTTAATTCTGATAATTTCGCTCTTAATTGAAGTATGTGTGTGATATTCGATTTGCAAGCTCTGAAAATGAAAGTATCTTGGGATAGTATTGAAAAGGTTTGGTTTTAGTTGAAAATAACATAATAAATAAATTCTGATGAATTATGATACTCCAAAATACCTTTAAGAAATATTCAATTGTTTTAATTTAAAATACTGATGTTTAATGACTTTAAACTTGAGAACGATGTTATTAAATTTTCTTAACGTTAATGTATACTTAAAAAGTAGAGCAATCATTTTAATTTCTGTAGTAAATTAACGAACTTATTTTCTTACTGATTTTTTGTGTAACGATTGAAAGATGACAATATCAATTTAAGAATAACGTATATTGACTACGATCTTTTACTAACAGCACATATTGTATTTGGTCTACAAGAGAATAATCTACACATAATAAATCTACGTTTGTCTCAATACATTAAAAACTCCATAAGAAATTCTCAGGATCTACATAAAAGAAAGACAGTGTAAGTGATATATCAATTATAGCGAATGAAAAAATAGTTAGTAAAAATAATACGCACTTGTACGAACGAGTTTAAAGATAAAACGATGAAAAATGCTTTGCCAATGTAGACCGGATACATAGTCCTGGCAGTCATGAATAAAATATCTTTTTTCGATCTCAGGCACAAATCCATCCAATTGGCAGTGAATAACGCGTAGGTCAGTTCGCGGCTCTAAAATAAATGAATTTTCTCTCACTTCGTACCCCTCTGTTCGAACAATATAACGAGGAGTTCGACGCAACTTTGTTGGTCAAGTGATCACCGAAGTAGCAGTAGATGCTGCTTTGCAAAAACATGCAGGATAAAAAAATCAACCTCATCAGAAGTTGAACGTCGATGGTCGTTGTGCTAGCCAAAAGATACGTGTTGGCCGTCAGTTGAATGAAACAATTGGAAAATTGAAAGATCATCGAGCAACCGTAGCCCTTGGATAATAGATCTGCAAATCTTTAATTGCAAATAATAATTAGCTATTGTTAAAGCGTGAGATTGACGCGTAGTCCGAAACTCACTCCAAGATGTAGCGGTGGTGATTGACGTTCTCGACGATCACCTCCTTCTCGCAGGCTTCGATCGACCTCGAGCTTCTGTGAGCTCGTCTCTTGGCTTCCATGGTCATGCATCTCACGCGATGGGCGAGCAAATCGAACTGGCAGCTGACGAAGCTCATGACGGTCGCGATCGAGATGTCGTGGCCGATGATTAATATGATGGAGATGAGAAAAGACGCTGCGTCCGGTATCCAGAGCCACCAGAAAATTCTGTCGGGTATCGGACCTTCGTGGGGTAACCAAACGGTCAACGGCAGGTTTCGATGGTCTTTCTTTTGAAAAAACGGAGGTGACACCCAAATGAGCCAGGTCCCACCGACCCAGACGTAAATCAAATTTAAAAATTTTCTGCGAGCAATAAAAAAAAGTAAAAACAAAAACCTATCAATCCTGTGGTTATATTTCAACGAGCCCACCTCAAAAACTCGCTGTAACTTTTTTCAATTTCGATCTCGCTTTTTCCTCGCGGCTGAGCATAGGGCGAGGCCAACATGCCGAGCAATTGAACCAAGTGCTTCCGGTTCATCCATAAGCCGACAGCTCTTATGGTGTTGTTTTCGACCGTCAACATGAGCAGAAGCGTCGTGTACATCTCGTCCTTATCCGAATTGTTCAAAATCAATCCCAATATCATGCCGGTGATAATGATGAACGGCAACGGCAGCAGTACGAAACGAGTCACGGTGTAGATTCGATATTTTACCGACAACTGATCCAACGGCCTCCAGGCTCCAGCTATGGTCATGAGAGTAAACAGTTCGTTCAATGTGTCGATAATCATTTTTGATTTTGAAAAATGAGCGACTTTTCGATGCGAGCAAACTCGATGGCAAATGAGATCACGAGAATCGCATCATTTCTTGACCAGGTGGCTTAAAACGACCTCGATGTAAACGATGCATGAAAATCGATGAATGTTATACTCTGTCATTAAACTCTTTTTCGATGCAAAATGCCGAGCGATTATTGCTGCTTGAAATCATAGGGTAAACAGGTAAGAAAAATGTCACATGCAAAAGATATCAATTGGCAATGATAGCCCCTCGGCTTGCTTACAGAATATCTGAGCAAGTGCTTGTAATTATTTTTCGATCTTTATCCACGGATCGCAGGGGGAATAAAATTATCTATTTAACCTACCGAATTTTTCAATAAAAAATGAGTATTCGCTGTGACTATATGCAGAAAAGGTAATGATGGTATCAATGCTGTAAAATTAGATCTCAAAAGTTGTAGTATTAATTGAGAAATATTTAAACGTTGGCTACTAGCCCAAAGATCGATGGAGCAATTACTCAGATCGTTTCGTAATAAAGTATATACAAGATTAAAAGTCGTTGAAGTGTTTGGAAGGAAGAGATACAAGGAATTTTATTGAAATTATCGGTGCTAAATTCGCTTCAGGCACTGACAGTTGGGCCGCGCGTTCGGTCGTCGGGGTCGCCAGTTCTCGTCGGAGAAGATCGCGCGCAGAGTCATCGTCGCATTAGCCCGAAAGGGAAGAAGCCACGTTTTCTCTCACTGTCGCAGGCGCGAGAAGTTGCTTACTCTTTTCTCGTTAAAACAGCAATTTAACGCCAGCAGCCAAGAGGGGTACAAGAGAAGGAGAGAGAGAGAGAGAGATAGAGATTCGCGGGCATGGCCGCTCCTATTGGCCTAGCTATCGACAATCACGTTTATCTATATAGACTGAAAATAGGGTAGACGCGTTAGTTTTTTCTTCTTCTTTTTTTATTACTCGTCTACATCAGCACATATTATTTCATGCGCGAATCCTACCTGTATAATACATTATTCTCGCGATAAGATGTAAAGATTTATAGCTGGAAACCTGCACATGGACTGGTCCAAGTCCGATTGCGCAACTCTGCCGACGACAAATGGAGCGACTGCGGGTAAAATGAAATGAAAATCGACTCGTCGTTCGACAACGCATACCGCATTTGGCGGCTCGCGCATAAACATTATAGCAGGCACTGTAATTGATAAACACCGACGCGCTTACGTGCCACAAAGAGGTGCGCGAGGGGGTAAGTCGAAGAAACGCGCGTCTCTGTTGCGGACAGGCTCATTCTTGCGTTGGCTCGATTTTGATTTTCTCTCTACGCGCGCGTGTATATATTTATCCTAGCAGCGAAGAGAGGCTGCCGCGGGAGAGAGAGAGAGAAAAGAAAATCACACAGGACTCGATCGTCGAGTGTTGGCTCTCGAGTTAATGAAATCTAGACTCGCTATATACGCTATCTTTATACATGGAGCACACGGAGGAGAATGAGACTTGCCTGCGCTGGTCTTTTCACGCGCACTTTAATATCCTCGCGCGGCTCTTTTACATTTTCCACGCCCGGAAATCTCGTACATAGCATTGGAAAACTCATCGATCGATTTGACGTCGGTCTTTTCCTTCGCTAAAATAATGTTTAAATTCGAGTTTAGGTAATGATATCACGAGGAAAATAGAGCGCGTGAATAGCTTGTATAATATGCCGCATTGGGTGGGAGCAAATGTCTTGCAAGTATTGAAAGGAAGAAACTAGGGGAAAGGAAAGACACACGGCTGGTATGGCTTTTGAACATATCTATGAGATCTGTGTATATATACAAATTAAGCATACATAGAGTCGAGCCGAGTCGGCAAGAAATTGGGTTAGAGAGGCTTGCATAAAAGAAGCAATCGTAGAGCTTTATTAAATTTTTGTTTCCCGCGCGCACACGCGAATCTCGTAAAAAGGGACTTTATGAAGTCGAGGAAAAATTAATATACAACAACGCACGATGTATATATATATATCGAGTCCACGCGCGCTCAAGTCGTGCACATGCATATAATGTATTTTACTTCCTTTTTTTTACAGAAGTCAAAAAAAATTCATCAAGGCAGGGTGACGACGAGGATGAAAATAGTTACAGAACGAGATATACGCAAGACTCTCGGGCATAAGTAAGTCAGTATATTAGAATGGCGCATGTAGAGCAATTGGTGCCCGGGGCGTGACTCGTGCCGTGGCTCGTCGTTTTAATAAAGCGCGAGACGTGCTGGATTTCCCTCTCATATCGAAAATTCCGCGGCTGCCGGGCATACCGCGGCTCGCACACCCACGCAACAAAGCCCCTAACGCAGCAGCAGCAGCCGCAAAGAGTCGTCGCATTCTTTCCATCGTTCCGCAAGGCGCAAATTGCTGCTTCATCGATTGCAGCTTAATATACACCTATACACAAAGCCGTCGAGTACGTAAGTACGTGCGAGGGGGCAGTTTTCGCTGCGCTCCCTGAGTTCGAATGTATATATATAGGGTCGTAGCAGCTTCTTCGTGAAATTGTCAACCCCCGCACACATCCTCATTCTCGAGCGAGAGAAAGATTCGCTTTTGTTCTTTTATCCTGCGGCTCGATTCTGTATAACCGATCCCTGTACATTTTATTCCTCGCGAGAGTCCGTTTCTATACAAATAGTTTCAAGAATCGAATATGAATTATTTGTTCGAAACGTGCGTCAGTCGAGATGACGATTTTCGACCGGAATAACCGTAAATGTACTATTATATTGCTTATGTACTATTGATTTCCTTTAATGATCATCGTTATAAAAATTTCCGTGATTAATAATCATTTTTGAGAGTTTAATTTTTACAATAAAATTATTAAGTCAAATAAACTTTCATTCAATTTCCGGAAAAGAGTCTTTTCTTCTTTCGAAACTTGAAAAATTTGGTTTACGTATTTTTACTGATAATTGTTATTGTTTCAGTTTTATATCTCTATTATTTTGTGCATAATTTACAGATACACTTTGAGCAACGACAAAGAATTTTCTATCAAACTATATTATTTACTTAAGAACAAATTACAATATTATTTAAATCTGAAATTTTTTAATAAAATTTTACAGTTTAATATTTCAGTCATTGTATTTTGTATGTACAGCAAACTTGATTAAATTTTATCAATAAAATCGTAAAGCTTCAAATAATTTAATTAAAATATAACTCAAATATATTAAATAATAGCAGTATGGTTCTCGTTATATTTGTATGTTATTCAATAATTAATAAATTTCCCTAGACAATAATATTACATAAATGCCACGTAGGTAGTAAGTAAGGCACGATTATGCTTTTGAGTACCATGATTTTTTAGGACAATCTTTTGTGTAAATGTCTTTCCACATACACTGCCCGTCAATTACTTTTGCCATACCTGAGCGAAAAATAAGTTAACTTCAAAGTTTCGTAGCTCAGTCAAAAAAAGTCGGATCGACATTTTGGATACGCCATTCGAAAGGTCTTTGCAAGCACTTTAAATCTATATAAATTGTTACCAGGTTTATTTATTTATTTATCAATTTTTATTAACAATTAAAGAATCAAAAATATTTTTTTTTGTCTCGGCTATTTCTCTTGTCATTTTAGTTAGAAAGGTCATAGAAACATTTTAAACCGATGGATTTGTAAGTTTTGACGAGACCTTCAAATCCTTTTTTTAAAAATTGTTCTACGAGCTTTTTTGACAAATATACAGCCCTTTTACTGCCAAAACGACCTTTTCATTTGTTCACATGTACACCGCGTTCAAGGGGTCGTAGAAAAAGTGTTTTTCAGAAAAAAATTAGGTATATATATGTACAACAAGAAGCAATAGTTATGATCCGTTTCTGAGAAAATTTTTTTTTTCGATTTTTAAAGCATGTTAACCCACCAACGCTCAAAGTGACGAAAATTTTTTGTTCGCGATCTATACAATTTTATTCCATGTTTAGAGCCTTGAAAAGACTTCGCACATACGTAATTTTATGTAAAATTTAATACCCTGTTAGAATCTGGGCTTAAATTTAAGATTTGATGCTTAGTTAAAAAGTTATAGTTGTTTAAACAAAAAAAAACGCTGCCAATTCATTTGCGAAGAGCTTTCATAAAATATTTATTGATGGAAATTGGCAGTCTGCAATTTATTATTTGGCCAATCTTAAATACAAATCGCATATTACCGTTCCTAACATCATCATTACCGTTCCTAATCTTCGACTCAAAAGCAAATGGGGCAAATATCATGCTTACGATGACCCAGAGACTAAGTCCATCATTGATTATTTTTTGCAAAATTCCGAGGGAAATCATTGGGACAATCAAGATACACCTATTTACACGGAGCCTGCTTCAGTGGCGATATCGAGGCGGTGCAACGATTTGTAAGCCAAGGTGTGGACGTCAATGTCGACTCGTACACGTGCTCGCCGCTGCACATCGCCTGCAAGTACCGCCGAGTGGCTGTCGTGAAAGTCCTATTGGAAAGCGGAGCAGAACCAAATCGGATGGATGGATGGATAAAAAAGATAAGTCGACTCCGCTTCATGCGTTGGCTCGACTGCGTGTGTGCGACTGTCCCAAATTCTGTACTGATAACATAGACGACGACAAGAAAGAGAAAAAGAGAAGACCAGTTGATGAGATTGTCGACTTACTCGTTGCTAAAGGAGCAAATATCGAGACACGAAATGCTCGTGGTTTCACACCTTTGGAATCGGCGGTGTCGCTTTTGTATTACGAGCTGACAAAGTCACTCTTGTAACGAGGCGCGAGTCTGGACACTTTGAGGGAGAATATTGCATTTAGCACGGATTATACATCATTCGAATTGAATGATTATCCCATTACTCTGTACATACACTTTTCGAAGATACGATATGGAAAAGTTGATGCTTGGCGTCGATCGTAAGTTATTCACCTCGTCAGAATATGAACTAGTGAATCTCATGGATACTGTGTGTAATCTATCTACTTATGAAGGATTTGGTTTTTATTTGGATCAAGAAAGTGCCGATTACATACATAAAAAACGTGAAGAATTAAGATCAATAGTTGATATGCAAATGACGATGAAGGTTGATGATGTTACTGAAAGTTACAATTTCTGCTACATAATACCAGAAGTTAAGAAAATGAAAAGCATTATGGTGAATAAAGACGTCTCGCTGTTACAAATTTGCCAAATGAGTTAGCGCGATGCTTCTTCCATTTTGAGCAAAATTAAAAATTTTCGTTTACCAGCACTAAATGATTTAGAGAACTTCACTCAAAAAATAATAAAAAAACACATAGCAAACGTTCTGTTGAGGCTGCAATTCGAACTGTTGGCCGCCGATCTGTTCTTGATGGATCATAGTAAACTGAATCTACCACATACTGCCTGCCGAATGATTGCGGGGCACATTACTTTTACCTTTTATTTTCGACAAACCATCGAAAATTACCCCAAGCGAATTTCCGTCCATTGAAATGCACATTTGAATTTGAAAAACACGCCTGCGCGTTTCGATCGACCGATTGCATAGTGTAATAATGGTTTTAATATGGTAGAAACTTGCGCAGTAGTATAATGAATGCATGGTAAAAATTTCAAGTTGACCGGACAAATAGTTTTTGAGATCATAAAAGACAAACAGACACCAACTTCGCTTTATATATTAATAGATATAGATATAGATAATTAAATGGCTTGATTGGCTTGGTTTATAACCCGTTCCTAATTGAGAAGGATCTGTAACCCTGACCTGGGAAGGTGGAGGTATTTTTGTTTGAGCGATAGTATATTAGAATAGTATATTTTCAATGAAATAAAGGATGACGTAATCGGCAATAATAATAGCTTTATGTTGATATCGGGTTGAAAATTTCACGAATTAATATTTTTGTATTTAAATCCAATAAATTTATTGTAACACCGAACGTGATAAATTATTTCATAGATTACAGAATGTTAAAGGATTGAATTTTTAAAAGTCAAAAAGAGCTTTCAATAGAATCATTGACTCGATCTGTAAATCTACAGCTGACTTGAAAACACACGAAGAGTAAAATAAAATACGGAGAGCTCGGTGCGTGTTCTTGGAACAGTGGATCTTTTTCAATTAGTAATCGAGAATATATCCTTGAATATAAGAATGATCCGTGATTAAGGCCGGTAATATCGGTAAATCCGGAGCTTTCGCAAGCGAGAGAGATAAAGCGCGGAGCTGGTTGAGCGAATAAATCGGTATACTTAAACTCGGTCTCGGCTCAAAAGATACGTGTAGACACGAATTAGCTACAAGCAGCGGAGTAGTTACGTATAGGTAAGTACATAGGTATATCGGCCGGATCGAGTAGGCGTCCCGATCCTCGGCTTGGGCGAGCTCGCTCCAGCTATATGTATACATCCTCGAGTCGCGGCTCCGATTGTAAAACGAGCTCGGGCCGTCGCGTGCCGTGCAGCTCGAGCCAAGTGGGTGTGTTCTCGAATCGGCGCGCAACAGGCGCCCCTATACATGGCCTGCATCGGCCGCAGCATCAGCACGATCGCGCGTGGACAGCAGCAGCAGCAGCAGCAGCAGCAGCAGCAACGGTGGAAGCAGCAGCTCCGCTCGGAAAAGTGGGCTGGCTGGGAGCATGCGCGACGCGGCTCTGGGCACATTAGCGCGTGTGTCTCTCCCTTATCATCGTGCCTCTCGTGCACGTATAGAGAGGGTGGATGTATAGGTAGTGGGCGCGCGCTGGTGACACGCGAGCGAAGCAGCAAAAAGTGCCGCGCGTAACTTTGCACATCATCGTCGGCGAGCGTTGCGGCAACAACAGCAGCAGGAGCAGTTGGAGCAGCAGCCTCGTCACCACCGAAGGGCCGCCCCGCAAAGCTCGCTCGCTCGGCTCGCCCGCGATCCTAGTCTCCCCCTTTTACGTTATTCTCTCTATTTTCCCTTTTTATTTATTTTCCTCCGAAAAATTCATACTATGATCGGAAGAGCGAGAAAGGGAACGCGAGCCGAGGAAGAGTGAGCGCAGAAGTGCGGTGGCTGCTGGCGTCGAGAGTCGCGAGGCGCACAACGGGACTCGGAGACATGAGCGATCACTACCACTGGCCCGAGACTACTGTGGGATCGGTGCGGATGAGCTGGACAATCGGCCGCGCAGTCGGCGACGAGCTTGCATCGGCCAACATCGCCCAACCGGCAGTCGCCAAGCAGCTGGACCTTGATCTAGGCATCGGCAGCCGTCCGCTCGTGGCCAGCTTCCTCGAGCAGTAGTCGACCTGTAAGTCTTTTTTCTTCTTCTTCTTTTCTTCGATCTTATATGCACGTGAGTTGTAAATGTTAATATTCTACTGCGGGACGTGCCCGCGACAGCCGTCGAACGATATTATATATTATCCGCATGAAATGATTACATAATATTTACGACCGCGTGCTGTATAGTTAAATTGTATTAGTCGAAGATGTACTGCGAGTGAGGCGTAGGCGCATAATATATATACACGTATAAGAGCTTATTGTCATATTTAAGCTACTTAAAATCATCGACTGAAGAAAGAAAGAGATGGAGAGATAGTCAGAGCTGGAGGGAGAAATGGCAAAGGCAAGTCGGAGCTCGTCGTCACTTTGTAGCGCCGAGCGAGCCCCTATCAAAGTTATTATATGCGCGAGTCGATATACCGCAGCAGCCAAGATATCACCGCTAGTCTTTGGGCGCGCGTGGGAAAGCTCGCGAACATGTGTCAAACGCAGCGTATCAAGCTCGGGAGCAGCAGCAGCAGCAGCAGAGGAAAAGCTGGAGCGGGTTGTGACAATGGATTACGTGGCGTATCGCATTATGCACGCCCGCGCGAACTTCTAATATCCTAGCAATTACACATGGTAATGCGTTTAGGCGTAAGAGAATCGAGACTCGTCCTCGGCACAAAGCGACGCTGCTCATTTCCTCGCGCGTCACCAGCACCAACGGCAGCGGCAGCAGCTATTGTGCGTCTCTCGCTGGCCTTCCTCTTGGCGCGTCCAACTTATAATACGTCGTCGCGTACGACGACGCGTGTATAATGCAAAGCGAGCTGGGACACCGCTCGAGCTCTCACCGAGTGAAATTCTTCGATGCGACGTCGAAATTTCGAAAGCTCCGCCGGGGCGCATCGCAAGCTCCGGTTCTTCGGGTAAAGCGAGGGTGAGGCGCAATTGCGAGCCGGCGGTAATTAAAAGGAGCTCTCCTCGACTTGCGCGCTCGTTCACGCGCCTGGGCTCCTCTGCGCGCGGAAGTATCTTTCGATTTTAATAGAGCGAGGCGATCGGTAATCGAGTTACGAAGCAATCTGCATAAGCCCCACGGACTGCTTCTCGCTACTTCACACACACATACCACTCGAGAGCATCACTTTGACTGCTGTACACGTCGTCGTCGTCGTCATCGTCCTCGGCCCCGTCGAAGGCAACAGCAGCAGCAGTAGTAGTAGCAGCCTTTGGGCGCTTAATGTAGTGCTGCTGCCTCGGCGTATGCGTTTAATAATAGCCCCTGCGTGCCGCGACCCCCCGAGCCTCCGGTCTATATACTCGCACAGCTGCCAACGAAGCTGGCCTCAGTCGGCACTCGTAATTCCATTAAAGGTCCATATAACCAGCTGCACTCCTGTCGTGTAGTAGCCTGCGCTGTCCTTTCCCTTCGTTGTCCCCCCGACTACCGCCGCATTGCTATATATACTTACTCATCGCAGTTATTTAATCGCGCGTCCAATCATTTTTTACTCGCTCGGCATTTTCATACGGAATTTCGTCACTGAATACCTTGTGTAATGGTAAAAACACCAGGGGCCAATCAGGTGAGGGGATGTATCGAGACTTTGCTCGGCAATTGAATTTATCGCGTATGTAAAAAGCCCCGCGCCTCGCGTAGGGCATCGAAACGATATCTCGTAAAAGTCTGCAAGCTCCCTAGTAGTCTCCATGTTGTATATGTATATATTACAATCATGTTAGGATGCGGAAGAATAAAAAGCTTCATTGGATGAGCTGCTGCTGTATCTACGAGCTGATTGAAATAAACTACCGAAGGAGGCCTGGCGAAAGGTAGCCGTATGCATAATACGCACGAATCATGTTGAATTCAATTTTACACACAGGCAAGAGGCAGAGAGGGAGAGACAGATAAAACGGATTTTTTTTTCGTCGGTACTTCGATAAGGGTTGCTGCCTTTGGCGCAGGTTTATCGAAATGGGATGGATATCGCAGTCTTGGAAATAAAGGGGGGCTTACATTTTGACTGCTCGATGTATGCGCGTGCAAGGCATAATACGGAAGCTAGCCAACGAATCTAGACGCGAGGCATTGTTTCGACGCGGCAGCATCGACGGCGCGAGCTTAAAACGATTACCGAGCCTATTTTCCGAGCGTTATAATTTTGAAAATTTGCCCGACGACGATACAGCTACTGCCTGTATACATGCTGTACGGGTGCGCACCGCGACACTTTGATAATAGCATGACACTGGCTCGGAGGAGCTATATACGTTGTAGCGAGTGTTGGAACGCGCGTATGCTGTACGGGTTAGCTATCTCGTATCAAAGTGGCAATCTCTCGCCTGCATCGGGTGCGCGATGTGACGCGCGACGCACGTGTATGTATGTATGCGTAGGTCTGCACGATATGGAGCGTTTACTTCGCTAGCCAATGCAATTTTACCAGCTCCCATGACTAATTCGTTTAGCGCCGTAATGTCGCGAGAGAGAAAGAGAGCCAGCGACGTAAAGCGGAGCTTTTGCCTTTCAATTAACGTGCGTAGTTGCAAGCTCTGCGTGTGTGTGTATACGAGAGCAGCTCACTTTGATTTCCACTCTGTCGCCAAGCACCTACGACCTTTTCCCTCTCTGTAGTGGCCGTGGAAATTTTTGGGAAAGCTCCGGAAAAAATATCTTTGATTTTATTTGCTCCAAATATTGTCTCTGCTGAAACGTGTCGATACGCGGATTCGAATCGTCTCTCGACAAAGCTGGATGCGCTCGCAGCTACGTTAGTCGTAGCCGCGTATATGTATATAACAACTTGTTGAGGCCAGAAGCAACAGTTTGCTCGTTCTCGCGGTGCTGTACGCAAGCTGCTGCTGCAGCCAGGCTCGCAAGCGAGTTGGAGTACTCGCGGAGCGTGTAACTCGCTAATTTGCGCTCGCTCTACGATTTTTTCGGCGCGCTCGCAAAGTAGAGCCGAGGAAAAAAAAAGTTCGCAGCGACGGCTATATACGGCAGAAACGAAGCGCGACGAGACGAGGCGCGGCCGGGCCGAGTATCGATAAAACTGGTATACAACTCTAGGTGCTGTACATCGAGGCGGCAGCTTTCGCTACTCAATTGAATCGCTCTCTCGCTCTCTCGCTCGTGCTATCAAAAGCTAGACTATCTCGGCTCATCTAATTGTCGATCTTGTCGTTGTAACAAAGTGATTCGAAGTTTAACGTCGAGTGTACGTGTTTCACGAGTCCTCTCGAAACTCTCTCTCTCTCTCTCTCTCTCTCTTTCGTTGCCGAGCGTCGGCAGATCTGATTAGAGCTCATTCAAGACTTTGGCTATTGAGCGTCACTAATTGCCTTTTAAAGACTGGCGCGCGAGCGGGATATATAGAGCTAGACTGCTAGACCCCCGCAGCCCCAGAAGAGACGAGGAAGCGAGGCGCTCACCTAAAGAGCAACTTACTTACCTTACTTCCTTCCGAGCTCGCGTCAACTTGTCCCGCGCCTTGTCCCATATTGGCGCTCCTCGCTCCTCTCTCTCTCTCTCTCTCCCTAGCTCTGCCTCCCTTTAATTCAATAGTTATTTCGCGCACGTTCCGTGTTATATAACGTACTATCCTCCTATATACATCGTCGGACGTATCGCTTCAAGTACGCTCGTGCGAATCATCATTAGCCGCATCGACCGTTATTATTATTATTAACATTATTCAATGCGATACGCGGACGACGCTGCGGTTGTTTGGCGCAATTGCAAATTTGATCGAGTGCGCGTACGGCTATCATTTACAGACGCACGGAGCAGATAACGCGGGGCGCTGGCTACGGCCTCGAGTGGCGGCGGCGGCGGCGACGAATAGATTGACGCGTTAACGCCTGCGCTGCGGGGCAGGTACACATCAGTCCGCGTTGAGTTTGATTAAGTGGATATGTATACTCGAGTGGGGCTGGGTCATACGCACGCACATGCGATTTCGCCGATTCATCGCGAGTCCGAGGCGTTGGGGCGACTCATTAGAGAGGCTCGATCTGCGCCCCCCGCCGGGCCACTGGACCAGCGCAGTCGTATACACCCTTAATAGAAAAGTCGTGTATTAAATTTTCGCCCGCCCGAGAGCCTCTCGTCGCTGCTGGCGAATGCCGTGATTTTTTGCGCTCCTCGATTATGGCTGCTGCGAAAAAAGCTGCGGAGAGTAGAGAGAGAGAAAGATCGTTGGATTGATTTCTCATCGGGCGGCGCGGCTGCGGACAATAGGCTTGCGGCGGGCGACGTGGCCACCGAGCGCCTCTGTTTGTTGTGCCTTAATGGCTCTCATGATATAAAGCTCCCGCGCGAGTAAACAAGCCGTGACTCGACGACGGTCATTCTTAATTCGTAATTACACAGAGCTTTTTTCCCTCCTTGCCGCAGCAGCGTTAGCGCCAACGTCACCGCAGCGGCGGCAGTAGCTCTTCACGGCTCGCCCAAAGAATTTCAACGAAATAAAAGAGAGAAATAAACGCGAGAGATCGAAGCAAAAAAAAAAAAGGATAAAAAAGAGGAAAACGGTTGAAAAGCGCTTGGGGTAGTAGTAGTAGTAGTAGCAGTAGTGGTAGTAGATAAAGAATGGAGCTCTGGCTTTCAACTGGAATATAATGCTCGCTATATATACCCACGTAACTCTCGCATACGTAGCGGCACGAGCTGCGAGCTAGAGACTAAGTGAAGCTCGGAAGATGGAGGCCGCCGCCGTCGCTGCCGTGGAGCTCGTCGAGAGAGTGAGAGCAAGAGAGAGAAAGACAGGCCGCGTGAAGGAAGCTCTTAGGAAATGCTGATTGCCTTCCGCGACCCTCCGAGCCCTAGTAGCAGTAGCAGTAGTAGTAGTCGCTTCTTACGTACATATAGCAGCGAAAGCATATCTGCTAGTTGCTCGTGTACAGTTCTTACTTCCACCCCACCCCCTCTATCTCTCCTTCCAGCTCCGCCACCCCCCGTGCCCGTCTCTGGGGATCTATACCGATTTTCTTGCGTCATTTGCTTCGATTTTCTTTTCCCTCCTTAGCAGCTAGCTGCTGCTGCTGCTGCGTACGTATACTCGACGACGGCAGCTGCCTATGAAGGATGCACATTTTATATGGAACGGCCTAAGAGCTAGTGAAACGATGGATTTTAATTGTACGTACGTATAGATTCGCCTCTTCCTCCTCCTCCTATTCTTTTTTCTCTCCATTTTTTCCCTCACTCGTACTGCAACGAAATTAATTTGTCATTCTAATAGTCTTGGCGTGTAATTCGTACAAAGCTCTACCGCTCTAATACGCGATAATTAAATTCTGATAAAATGATTATTGCGCGTCGCCATGAAAGTCACGTATAATATGAGAGAGCGAGAGGGAAAAGTTGGCTGAAAGCTCGAGCATGATACAGCTCGCAGCAGCAGCAGCGCGTGGCCTATGATATTAATGCATTCCTGCCGGCCCCGCGAGCTTTTCTTTATTTTTCCTTTCTGACGCCAGCGTCACTGCTGCTCACTCGATGAAAGTGTCTTTTGTAGCGCTTTAATTGCGATCTTGAAATACGTTAATGTAGCAGCTATATAATGTGTGTGCGGCGTGACAATATGCTCTTTATTATGTATATAACAGCTGCGAATGCAATAATAGTCACGTACATTTTTCCTTATTTTTGTGTCGCAGGTTGATCGTAAACTCGCAGGCTGGGCAGAGGATAACGGCAGTCGGAGAGGATGTCTGGAGGCCAATGGACCAGTTGGCTGCAGCGATGTCGCGAGTCACGCAGCTTGGTGCTCGTGATCGTCGCGATAGCTCTGCTGCTCGACAATATGCTGCTCACCACCGTAGGTAAGGATCGCGCAGCCGTGCACAATTTCCGCGTTATTTCTTTGACAGGCTCGCGCCAGCTTCCCGTGTACATTCAAGCTCGTGCACCATAATAAATAGACCACGAGGTCCGGCCGAACAAAAGCGCAATTATACGCACTTTTATTCTCGCAAGCTCGAGCCGTTTCGAGGTGCAAAAGGGTCGCAGCAACGACCGAAGAGAGAGAAAGAAGGATGTTAATTTGCGATACATTTTAACTTGGCTCTCAAAAGCTTCTCTCGGGGTTAATTAAAAACTTTTTCACTCGAAACCTTTAGCTCTTGTCTTCCTGCTGCGAAGCTCGCTTCTCGATAACTCGCGCAAGCTCTCGGCCGAAGTGGCCTTTGCGCCGCTTAACCCGACGGCGGGACATTTTATTATTTTCGGCGACTGCTGTGGCCTGCTGATAAAACAGTTTTCACCGGCTCGAGGCGCCTAAGCAGGTGTAAATAATGTATAGCCAATCTCGGCTGTTCCCTTCTTCTTGTTCGTTTTTTTACAGGACGTTGGAGCTTCTCGCCCGTAGTCCTGTCTACGCTTTGCTCGTGTTCTTTTTTACTCTTCTCACTCCGTCTCTCTCTCTCTCTCCTTCAGTGTTGGCAGTTCACGCTCGCCGAAGCACAAAGACAAGCTGCACAATCCTAATACGCGCTGCGAAATTCCTCGCCCTTGTCGGCTGCGGAAAAAGCTTCTTGTTCGTCTGGCAGCTGCTTCTTTATATAATTTTTAAGTAAAAGAAATGCGTATACGTGTTGGTAGAGAATGCAGGAGCACTAATGCAGCTTAATAAAAAAATGCACGACTCGAGGGTTGACGGTTTTGATTCTTTGATTCTTCGGTTACGGGAGAACGTTTAAAGGGCCTCACACTCGAGTTGGTGAGGTTTGAAAAGGCTAATCATTTTTTTTCATCCGCGTACTTGTCGCTCGAGATTATCAAATCAAACCGCCGCAAATGATACACGCTTTCGCAGGTATAGTACTTTCAGACGGCTCACGAGCTGGCGAAAATCAAATCCTCGAGCAAAGTCGAGTCGTAGCATATACAATAGGGGATGAAATTGGCAATCATATTAAGGGAAATAATACGCAGTGAACGTATAATACTGCTACATACGACGACGACGACGACGACGACTGCACTCGTATCTTTCGTTTCGCTCTCCTCTCCTTCGATCTCTTTTCGTTAGGGTAAAAGACTGACGGAAGGTAAGAGCGCAACATAAGGGGAGACGAAAACTCACCGCACGCAGGCAAGAAGAAAAAAAATGACGGTCGCAGGAGGAGGATGTATCCAAAGGATTTGTTCCAGATTAGAGGGGAAAATTCTCTTATCGCTAGGAAACAATGTCCCTCGAGATTTCCTGTATCAATTATAGCGCGCGCGCGTAAATTCATGCTTGATACGCAGCAGGTACGGATCCGCCTATATGCGTACACAATATTTCTCTGAGAAAAAAAATAAGTAAAATAAGATGAAAGCTCGTCGCGCACGAGTAATATTTTCTTCGTCATTACTTGTTTTTCTCTCTTCGCTCCGGCAATCAAGCTGATGCGCCAAGAGCTAAGTAATTATACAGCCTATCAATGCCCGGTCAAATGAAAGGATGAAAAAGCGATGCGATCTCGGCACGCAGCTTGTAGTAGTAGTAGTAGTAGTAGTAGTATAGCACACAAGAAGAAGAATAAACAGCCACATCCGAAGTAATTATTTGCGAAAATAAAAGCGGCTATGGTATAGTCGATGCTGGTGGTGGTGTACGGGGGCGTTTAAGCGCGCGCGAGCCCCGAGACCGACGAGATGTCGACAGATGCCAAAGCGTCGAGGAGGAGGAGGGGTCGGCAGGACGCGGGGGTAAAAACCAGGAAAGCCACTTCTAGTTCCTTCTTTCCCCCGGACGAGTACTCGCGACGGAAATAATCGCGCACGTAGCCTCTTACGCGCGTTTTCCCGCGGCTTTTAAGCTTTTTTTTCTCTCTCTTACCTTTCCCACATAAGCTATATACATCGTGTATATATAGAAATAAGCACTGCTTGCGTGGCGGGGGTGCGCGCACACACACGCACGTACACACATATAGCTGCTGGTGCTGCAGTCGAGTGGCTATAGGTGTGGATGTTTAATTCAAGAGGAGACCGACACGAAACTTATGGCCTGCCGTATGTCACGCCAGTAAATATAGCCCCGGCAATCCAGATAAGTGGTCATGCATTTATGGAGGTGTTGAGTCATTCTTATATGTATATACACGGGTCCCCCACGCACTTAAGCTCGCTCCACCGCGCGCCATTATACGCATAGAAAAAAACATCGAATCTCCAAATGTTATACGCCTCTGATTCGACGCCTTGGACTATGATAATATACATGCATTACGTATACAGTACAGGCGTATAAACACGCGTACGGCTGGTGTATACAGTTTGAGCATAATAACAATGGTATGCGTGTATACGCTTGGCGAGCCAACTGCTGACTTTCTTATCAGAGAAGTATCGATATTTTTGCGATAAATCATTTTCTGCTCCGAAAAAAATACAATAACGAACGTCGTCGTGCTTTCGGGTTACGGTAGGGGGGATTTTTTGCAGCAAAAAACAAAAGAATGTTTGGAGGAGCTGGGATTTGAACCCAGGACTTTCAGCATGCGAAGCAGACACTCTACCACTGAGTTACACCCCCTGATATCAATTGTGCTAAATTTTGCCATGATACACTGACTGAAACCGCTTAAACGTCGCTCTTTCGAGTTGACCGTAAAAACGTGTTTCGTCCACTTTTTCATTCGCAGTTCCAATCATCCCGGAATTCCTTTACGACATGAAACATCCAAACGCGACATTGAACAATTTCATGGAAGGCGCAAAACATACAACAACTACGGTCGCGCCTACATCACCAACGTGCAGCTGCCCGCAACAAGGCCACAGCAATCATTCGGCCCTGGAATTCATACAATCGGCAACGGCCGCTTCCATCGGTAATCTAATTAATGTATCATAAGTAACAAAAAATTACGGAGCTTAATTGAAAAAAATACCAAAAACAGAGGCAACAACTGTAAATCAAACGGCATTGGAGCTGGTCGAGAGAAAAGAGCGTCACAAGGAATTGGTCGAAGAGACCGTGGCAGTCGGTATCATGTTTGCTTCCAAGGCGGTGGTTCAATTGTTGGCCAATCCCATCGTAGGACCTCTGACACACAAGTAATTAATAAAATGCTAAAACAAAAACTCCACTTAGTATTTTAAAAAAGAGAGTAGAAATGATATAACGTCGCATTGAATTTTTCCCGTTGCAGAATCGGTTATAGCATACCCATGTTCGCCGGATTCATCATAATGTTCATATCGACGGTGATCTTCGCCTTCGGTCGCAGTTACGGGATTCTGTTTCTAGCCCGAGCCTTGCAGGGCATCGGTTCATCCTGCTCGAGCGTTTCTGGTAATTGTCTCGACATTGCAATAGCCGGGGAAAAAAAAGTAGCTTTGCTTCTCTAACTAATACTGTTATTGTTGAATGCACGACGATTCGCAGGAATGGGAATGTTGGCCGAACGATATCAGGACGACAAGGAGAGAGGAAACGCCATGGGCATAGCCCTCGGTGGCTTGGCTCTGGGTGTGCTCATAGGACCTCCGTTCGGAGGCATCATGTACGAGTACGTGGGAAAATCCGCACCGTTCCTCGTTTTGTCGGCTCTCGCGCTTGGAGACGGATGTGCGTATGGCAATAGCAATAATATGCCGCGGTATACATTGAAGTAATTTTTTTTCTTTCCTTTGAACGCAGTACTGCAACTTCTGATGCTGCAACCGTCGGTCATATACACGGAAGCCGAGCCACCTTCGTTAAAATCGCTCGTCACTGATCCCTACATCATTTTGGCCGCAGGTGAGTAAAAGTCGATCGTAGCCTAGCGCAATGACAAGGATATTTGAGAGCGTTTGGCGTTTCGTTCGATGCGTCGCAGGTGCAATAACGTTCGCCAACATGGGCATCGCCATGCTCGAGCCCAGCCTTCCAATTTGGATGATGGACACCATGGGAGCAAGTAGAGTGCAGCAGGGAGCGACATTTTTACCGGCCAGTATTAGCTATCTCATCGGTACGAATCTTTTTGGCCCACTGGGACATCGTATGGGCCGGTAAGAGATCGAGCTCTTTTTATTTTCCTATTTTTTGAAAATAATAACGATTACATTTCAGATGGTTGGCTGCACTCATAGGTTTATTTGTCATTGGTTTTTGTTTGATGTGTGTAAGTACTTCATCCGGATGAGTTTATGAGCAGTCGAGTCTTATAAATTTAAAACTAAATACGAAACTGATCGTTATGATCGATTGTAGATACCGTTGGCGACGAGAATCGATCACCTGATCGTACCAAACGCTGGTCTGGGCTTCGCCATCGGCATGGTGGACAGCTCGATGATGCCCGAGTTGGGCTACCTCGTAGACATTCGGCACACCGCAGTTTATGGAAGCGTCTACGCCATCGGCGACGTCGCTTTCTGTCTTGGTTTCGCTATTGGTGAGCTGTACAATTTTTTTTTTTTTTTTTTTTTTTTTTTTTTAAAGAACGAACATCTTCATTTCTGTTATTGCTGATTTTTTCCGTCACAGGTCCTGCACTGAGTGGCACATTGGTTAATTCCATCGGCTTCGAGTGGATGCTCTTCGGCATAGCCATTCTGAATTTCATTTACGCACCCTGCATGTATTTCCTGAAAGCCCCGCCGACCAAGGAAGAAAAGAAGGTACGTACTGATATTTATTTCAAAGTAGAAGATTTCTTAAAAGTTATACTTGCAAACCTTTTTAAAGACTTTGATTGTTGGGGAAAAGTCTTCGGTGCGCTACGTCACCTACGAGAACGAAGAGGAGGATCAGTAAAAGTACAAAACTTGTTTCCTATTTTAGATTGATTTTTTTTATTCTTAATACAGCAATCGATCTCAAAGATTCTAATTTTCCTGTCGACTAACATTTATTACTGTCTAATTACTAATTAAATATTTATTACTAATATTTATAACGATCAATTGACGATTACTGTTTCTTATGCATTAAAAATTAACACCACACTTTTTTGTGTTCAAACGGTTATTACTTGAAAAACTATTTATTCATATATATTTTTATAAAACAATCCAATAGCACTATGTATTATAAGTTTATAATGCACTCGAAAGTATAGTTTTATTTTCCGGCACATATTGAGTAAATTTCCTTTGGAGTTATTGCACAGATTAATTTTTAACTTAAAAAATTAACATCTGTAAAAATTTCTTTTTTTTTCATTCGTAGATTAGGTATATTGACATTTTCTTCAAAGTAGAATTTATAGATTTTAGTTATTTTATCTTGTTCAAATTTTGATACTAGAAAATAATCCATCAACTGAATCATACGCTCAGTACAAATAATTTCCCAATCACGACACTTACAAAATATTTGAAAAAAAAATTAAACATAGTCCAGTTGATTGAGAAAAGGTTGACCGGTGGCTAACTATGACGAAAAAAACATGTAAGAAAAAATATAAGGAAAGGAAGGGAACGAGTATCCGACGATTCTAACGATTTTATCAAAGGAATACCATAAATTTTTTTTCCAAACGTATGAAAAAACTTGAAAGCCGCCCGATTCGGATTTCCTGAATGGCTGCAGGAAAACCATGCGAAAATGCGATCGGGAAAGCATGAAGGAGCTTTCAATATTCGATTTAAATTTGAAAAAATTCGACGAAAAATGTTGTTCTAAGGTATTTCCTAATTTAACGCTTACCTGACGACGGAACAAACACTACTTTGAAACGTCCGATCGCATTTGGTAGGCGAAATTGAGTGTTGATCGATATTCCATGTACTATTTCCTAGTCTATCTCGGTGTTCTAGTAGTTGAATTTTGATCTTTAAAGTACATAGATATATAAGAAGATTTTTCGCCGAAAAGCGAGCGGACGTTTTCAATAGCGATATGATAACGACGAAAAGTGACGAGAAAATAACATATTTAAGATTAACATATTATACTGCGCGGATCTGGCGCTGTGCAACGGACGTGAGGTGATCATGAGAAAACTTAAAATGAGAGGATTTGCAGCGGGAACCTCTGGCCTCTATTCGAGTCTTTTTCTTTTACCAAAAATCGTAGTATGTTATAAAAAAAAATATAAAAAATGCCTCACAAGTAGCATTCGTAGAAGCAATACATATTATTAGAAATAAGATACAAGTATATATATTACTACAATATATACAAAATATATAACATATGATAATCATATTAGAGTAAGTAATGAAAAAATTTTAAAAAGTACTTAAAAAAATAAGCATTGAATGTTTGCAGTAGTTAAAAAAATCTGTCTTGTATTTATAGTGAGTTATAAAAATGATATAGAGATCCTAAGTTATTGCAGCACTCGTTAGTATATTAAATATAAAACATAAAATTTTAGTGAATCTATGGTAACTAGTAGTGACACACGTATAATGGTAAAATATTCGATATTCGGCTAAATATATTACAATATTTATGCATATTACATGTGAAGCTTCATTTCGTTGTAAACACTGCAACGTGAGACAAAAAAAAATAAAAAGCAATTCAAGTCATCGAAGCAATAATTCGATTTTATTATTTCTATTCTCATAGATGAAATTGAATAAAATAAAATTTATTAACGGCTACAGCATCCCACTGCAAAATTCATGAAACAAATAGGGGCGTTTTCGAGCGAACCTACTCCCGGAACGATAAGTGAGTCAATTCGATCACCACAAATTCGTTGCACAATCCAGATCCGACTACATGAAACTAAGCTGAAGCTTAAAGATTATAAAAACTCTTGTTGAACATGAATCAAATATATATTGATTGTCTAAAGAAGACACGGAATGAAATTTGAAAGAAAAACTGTGACTAGTAATTGAAACTACTTCGTTCATCTTACTTATTTTTAGTTCATTGTAATTACTCCAAATTTTTTCATACTAATTGTTAATTTTTCAAAGTGTAAGTGTAAATTGAAAGAGCTTGTAAACGAACTTATATAATATATAAAAATATTCATATGGGAAATATGAAAGCGAATTGCAGGTGCAATCAAAATCAGATGCAATATTATTATACATTACACGAGAAAATTTTTTTAATATATTATTAACAATTCTCATGGAAGTCGACGTGCAACGAAAACGTTTGCCGATTCATATAATATGTGAATTGCTTGTAAGTGTGATTCTAGTTTTTGGAAATTTGTTTCGGATAGATGATATATTTATTTCGTCGAAGTAGAATAATTAAGAAATTATTGCGTGTATGTGTGACTCAAATAATACGACATAAAATTAAATTAAATTGTAGCTTCATTTCTAAATATTATTACAATTGATGCGTGTAAAATATATAAAATCATAATTTTACCTACCTTTGCATGATCATAATGGATTAAATCGAGCATCTCTGGAACCTCTAACGAATTCAAATGCTATATATATAACAAGTATCTTGTATTTATTGATATATATATATGTAAAAAAAGTATATTAACAATATGATATATAAATAATTCCCTTTTTTTCATACTTTAAATTTTTCTTTGAATTAACTTGAAAATTGTGCATAGTCGTTTTTAAAACTTTGAAGAGAATTATTAATTACTCGACGAGGGCTGCTATTGTGAACAGACAATAAGCAAAGATTTGCAGGAATCTCCGGTTACTCGAACAAAATGTTTAACTTACAAATCAATGAAACAGCTTCTCTATTCTAACTAAGAAAAAAAATTAAGTGATTGTGTATATTAAAAATCATTGAGAATTTTTAGAAAAAATTCGTAATATTTTTCAGTGATTAGACATGTGTATCCTAAAAATTAAATCTTATTGGAACTTTTGAAATCTTGGATCTGCAACCCGATTATTTATAGAGTGCCGGTGAATTGGAGCAGTATAAGATTCCGAAATTACATAATCAGTTACAACGAAAAAAATATATATTACAGTATCAATATGGTTAAATATTATTGGTAAATGAGTTTAAAAATGAAACTCGATAGTAATTATTGCATTATGTAAAAAGAAAAATTATATTACTGAATAATAAATAAAAAATATTGCATTTAACTATCAGCTGGTGTATGGGTCCGACAAAACAAAGCAGTAATTAAAAACTCTAATGGGAAACTGTGGAAGGAGTTTCGCTCTATCGAATATAATGGCGTATACATAGTCTATAATATACAATAATAATATTAAATTAAATTAATTTCTTCCAAAACAATATCTTTCAAAGCGACACGATATTTCCGATTATGTATTGATTATTTTGTATTTTCGCCATCGAAATTGTATTTCATATATTTTTAAAGTAATCGAAAGTGCAGCTTTTATTTCAAATGTAACAGTACTCATAAAGAAACGAATCTCAAAACAATTCATTTTTTAATTTTTATTAAAATATGTAATAAATATCCACAGGCTAATTTAATAAGCAATTAAAAACCAATGTTGATATAAATTGATGTATGTATACGAAAAAAGTTCTGTAAAACAATAAATCAAATTATAAAAATAACATTTTGTGTTCTTGATTTTTCAGAAATACTAATGGATAAAAATTGAACTTTGACACACTCTGAGATATTTTATTCGATTCATGTTGTTACTTATAAGGTTTCAGTCAACTTCAGTACATATTTATAAAACCCAGTAAATTAAGAATTATAATTTAGGTTTCAATCGATGTTCATAAATAGTTTCATTTTGGAATATCATAACAATCCTTTTTTTACAATTGAATCGATATTTTATTTGTTTCAAGAGATTATAATATTCATCAGTTATTTAACCTTTCTTTTAGTAATTACTTTATTCATAAGGCTCTTGTTATATTTACGATTGTTTTTTTTTCTAATGACTTCAAGGTCGTTCAAACAAGCTTCGTACAATGATTATTCAACTTTTTTATTTACACTTAAGGAAACTTTTTTTTTATAAAAGTTTTCGTAATATCTTTTATTCATTAGTTTCAACCTATATACGTAATAAAATTCATCAATAATTTTAATTAAATAGTAACACTTTTGTTAAATTTTACTTTTTATTTTACAAATATTCAGAAAGACACCTTACTAAAAACTATAATATATCAAATCATTTGCTACCACTCTTGAAATGATTACGGGAAATAGCGCCAAAAAAGTAATCAAAGAAAATAAAATGATCTTACATTAATTAAGTTAGCAACTATTATGTAAGCATCTCGGTTATTTACATACGAAACTGTAAATGATACACAAAGTCAACTTATATAATAAAGTATTTATTTAGAGCTATAACATAATTATTTTCTGATAATCAATATATAAAACAGCTACTCCTTCAAACTCCATTAATACACTAATGACTATCTAATTTATTTGTTTATGTATTAATTAATTAATATTTATTACAAAGAATAATTGATTTTTTAAATAATTCATCAATCATTAAATTGAATATCGTTTGAGCAAGTACTGTAACTACGATATATTCAAACTTTTTTCGCTGTTAATATCATCATATGAACTGCGATTTTTCAAAAGATTATAAAAGCAGCCTGGTAGTTTTATTATTTTTTCATCTTAACATTTACCATTTTTTTCTTCGAAATCATGCCTTTACAAGGTATTCGATTTTATACTTTTAATAGGACTCATTAATTTTAAATAATTTATAATTATTTATGTACAAACATGCGTCCGTTTGAAAGGCATGTAGTTTACTTTAAACTGTATATCGACTGTTCGAAACATAATACCTTAAAAATATTGAATTTATTCGAATTTCTTTAATAAATTTAATAAAAATAAAAATGTTGAACCCCAAAACTTAGACAAAAAATTATTTTTACACTAAAAAATCGAAATAAAAACCAGTGCAATGCGATTTAAAATTAACTACGAAATCTTGATCATTAACAATTGTTTCACAATTAAATTCGCATTACCATTATCTCTGATTGCTGAGTATAAAATAAATGGGAATTCCGAATGTAATATATAAAATTTCTCCTTTTACTATCACAGCACACTAGAAGTAAATGAGCCTGGCATCTTCAGGATTTTGATCCACAGGGCAGTAAGGGCATTTAAGCCTAGAAACAAATTGGTTCCTTAAAAAGTGTTTTCGCAATCAGCTAATTTATGGCAAACTCTTTCTGAATTACTTACTTGTTGGCATTTGTGAGCTTATTCAGAGCATCTCTTGAGATTACATGACCACAAACCAGTTTCATAGGTGGATTATTTTCAGTACTTTGTTGTCTTAAAATTGGACATGCAAACACTGAATGATAACGGCCTTGTTTCCCCAGATCAATTTCAATCTAAAATATAAATAAAAATGTAACAACATTCATTATAACTTAAATGTACACTGTGCATAGGGAAAATCTTACAGGAAGTTCATCTTTGCCACTCCAAATTCCAGAAACTTGACGCTGTTGCATAACTTGTTTAATGTTTAATAAAGCAGGAAGTGCTGTGATTCCAGCATTTATACTGCAACAAAATAATCATGTTATAATCATATTTTTCATTGAAAAAATTTGAAATGTTTATCAAGTCTAACCAAACAGATAATGGACTATCAACACTTAATCCTAAAAGTGTACAAGCTTCTTTAGTAAAAACATCATGAATATCAAGCCATAACATTGGATCTAATAAATGGCTATAAGGAGATGATTGAATTCCATTTGGTAAATACAACAAAGTTCCCATGAGGGATTGCACTTCTTTTTCATGTCGATTAACAAATTGTGTCAAATGTTTGCGAGCATAAGTGATTGCTTCGCTTTGTTTGCTTGGTCCTTCTTGAACTAATCTAATAAATTGAAGTCTATGTAGTTTAAATTCCAACGAAGAGTTCTGAAAAAAATAGGTGGTTAAAATTTTATAGCTAGTGTGAAAGAAAATTTGAATAAATTTTTACTTGTGCAATTAAAGCATCTCTATGCCTAGTTGCCCATTCCAAAGCAGGATCAAGATTTTTTTGTTTCAAGCAATCCAGAATATAATTTAGTTCAGTAAAAGGTTCTTTCCTTCCCTCATCAGTTTTAATACCGGCTTCCTGCAGTCATAAGTTAAAATATTTATAAAAGTCCATTATTATAGATTGCAATAATAAGGATCAGTAATTACAGCTGCCAATTCATCAGCAATGTCTAACATTCCTTGACGATAAAAATGTTGACAAATGACTTGATTAAGAAGGTGTGTTTTTTCTGCACCAGCAAATACATCTTCTCTGCTAGTACTAGCAAAATCAGCAATGAAATTTCTGTCAATCGCTTTACCAACTTTAGATACTGTACTATGCAATTCCCTGTGATCTGTCGCTAATCTAGCTACAGTATCTCTAGCCTTGGTCATCGCTTGTTTTAAGACTTGTACCTGTTCTGGTGTTAGCTGCTGATCTTCTGGAGCTGTGTATAAAACATTCTCTACTTTAGTTTTTTTTATATGGTATGAAAATTAAAATTAGTTTGCATCATTTTGTTTGGTAAGTTGTGTAATGCGTTCTTTCTGTTTATCGACTTTCTCAAATTTAAATACTCATAATGATAGTACATTACAATAGAAGGATTAAAAATAGCATTACGAGTTAGAGGTATATTATCATCGTGTTTTATCTAGTTTCTCGAATCTCGAGTTAAACGTAACGTAGAAAACAAAGCAAAGTGACGTTCAATGAATTCGCAACAAAAAGAATAAAATATAGAGTTAATCAATGATTAGTTGTAATTGTGAAGCAGAACAGTTGGAAAATGCACAGATTGGGAAAGCATAATTGGGAGACTGACCTTCCTCGATCTCTTTGCTGAGGGACTCGATGTGATTAATGATGTCCCGTATCGTAGTGTCCGCATGGTCGTTGATAGCCCCGAACTTGGTGAGGACCTTGTCGACCTCGCGCTCCACGGCATTGCAAGCCTCCATGATTCCAATTAACTTGGCCACTATTGCGGCTGAGACAACAACAACAACACAGTAATATTGTCGAAAAAGTTTATTATCATCGTCGCGCACAACGAGCTGCAGGCCAGTTTTATCCGCAACTCAGCGCCGAGATTATCGCGTACGCGGATGCTCGCTGCATTTAACAATACGTATGTGCAGCACACGACCGTCGTATGTATGTATACGTACGTATTTGCGCTTGGCAATGTGTCTGTATTATGTATATAATAGCAGCAAGTGCCCCGTTTGCCTTGTTTGTGTGTTTGGCAACTTGGGACGTGCAGCTGGCAGTTCGCAGCCAGCAGTCAGCAGCCAACAACTCGAGAGTCTCGTTCGCGAAACGCAATCCCCGAATCTGTGCGAATAAGCTGAGCTGACCGCTGCGGCAGCGGTGGAGGAGCTGCTGCCTTAGGCGACCAACTTTTTCGCGTCACTATACTTCGATGCGTATGACGTCAGCAGTGTTGCCATATTTACTAATTATGAATGAACATTTTCACGAAATAATTCACCATTGATTCTTATGGCGATTATTTTAAATCGACTTGTTTATATTTTTAATATTTAATTCGTTACGGGTCAGGAGGGAGTGGCATGAATATTTATTTCAATCTTTCGGTAGATTTAAAAAGATTTTTATTGTCTTATGAAACAAATGCATAGCAAAAATCAAATATTTTTTACTCCTTTTATAGCTTTAATTTATTGCAGAATTTACGCAAACTTTGAACATGTTAAATCAATCATCTTTGTCCTCAAGATAATTCAAGAGCAGAAGCAAACCCAAATAAAGACGACGGGCTTTCTTTGAAGAGGCTGAGGTCATTGCTCCGTATTTTAAAGGTCATAAGTAGGGGGTCACTTTACGGAAAATTCGGCCAACCATTCTAGACTTTTTCTTTTTAAGAACACCTCATCATCAAGTATGAAGAGTATGAAATTAGTGAAAATGAAGATTTATCTGAGCAATGTTCACTAGAATTAAGAATTAAGTCATTTTCATTACAGTGACCAAGAGTCAAAGTAATAAAATTATTTTGATGTTTGTATTGCAAGTATTACAATTTTGTCATGCATAAGAAATGATTCAAATTGTTATTAATTTTGAATCATTAATTAATAATGATCAGGAGAGCTGAACTGTAGATCATTTTCTTTCTTTACAATTGATAAATGAATATGATTCAGTCAGGAAAAATGATGCACTTGATTATGAATAGAAGGGTTGTACCAATGTGTTATTTTACAGCGCAAGCTTCAATCATAAATTCAGATTGCATTGTATTTTAAAAGAAGCACATAGGTATTAAGTTTTTACATACATTTTTTTATTCTAATACATTCAATAAAATAATAAATGGAAAGATTTACAATGATGAGACTATTTCACTACACATCATTTAGTATATAATATTATATTTTTTACATTTATATAATTTGGTTTTCAAGTACATATTTTGTGTAATGATGATGTATGTCTAACATAACAATAAATATTGCATCAAAAACCTTTACAATTTTGTAAAGCACAATATAACAGAATAACAAGATACAATTCCACTATAATCTTTGAAAGGGATCATAAATTTCTTTTTCACTTGCAAGTTTCAACGTACAGTATTAAGTTACAGTGCTAAACAAAACAAAATTAAATCACATTTTAAAGTTGAACTATCCCTTGAAATTTATGGAATGAAAAAAATTTTAGAAAAATAATTTCAAAAATCAGAATAGAGGTGGTTATAAATAAAATTAAATAAATATTTGATCAGTTGTACTTTACCAAAAAAACTTTTGTACAGTCATTAAGAATAATTCTGCACTTGCAAAATATTTAATGTTTTCTTGATGTGTATTACTCACAACGTAATAAATATATAAATAAACCAAAATTTAATTTAACTTCATCGTTCGTGATTTACGTCTGGAATGGGTTGTTTTTTTCCTGAAAAATAAAATGCATATGGTTTTTATTTAAATTAATGGATTTTCAATATTCATATTAAGATATATTCATATTAAGATAAGATCAATTAAATGATGTGAAAGTATTAATTTATCTATATTCTTTCTATATCATATACACATTTCTAGATAAGTTAACTACATCTTTCTCAGTGTCAGTCATGTGACAACCTTTGGTATATATGAGTCAATACGGCTAATTAATTGTATCATTACATGCACATTTTATTAAAAATAAGTTATTTTATTGAATCTAAAGTTTTAAATGTTTTATTTCAGTAAATCCAATTTAAATCTTCTAGTTTTACTTCTTGCTACAACTTAAAACGATGAATAATATCTGCACTCACCCATTCAGCTCCCATTGCTAGAATAGTACTTCTTGATAACAGTGGCCCAACAAGTGGGTTCATTTGTGCCATGTAGCAGCATAACCAGCTAAAAAAGAGATTTATTAAATAATGCACTTTATGTATTATGCATACTAGTTACAAGAGTAAGAGAGTAGTTTTCATATACTTGTGTACTTACAATAACCAACATGTGAAAGCTGTTAACAATAGGATCACGTGTAGAATTCTGTAAATAAATCGGAAAAATGATTTAGTTCGATTTTTAAACTACGTTGAATAATCGATTATGTCTGAACACGAATGAACCTAGGATTTATTATTTGATTCCTTGGTCATCATAGCAGTTTTTGCTTACCCTTTATTGGGTCCTTTGGGAATGAAGAATGGCAAAACAATGCCCACGCCAGCCCAAAGGGCTGTGAAGAAAAGAACTGGCAGAAAAGCTGCTCCCATGATTGGTTTTTAAAGACTTTTCCGAAATAAAATACGAGCACCTATTTTCTATTGTGTATAGGCAGATACTGATGATATGTGCTGGGTGTCTGCTTTCTGTCACATGATGTAGTTGTGTGCTGGTGACGTACTTTGACGCACGCGCGTGGCGCCAATACTGTTCAATGCATGAAATCCTACTGCAAAACATTAAATCAATACACTATGACTATCTTTCTTGAACTATTTGAATTTAAATAAAAACAACGGTTTATTCGAAATAATTTTTTATTGCGAACTATTACTTAGATACAATTCAATGTAATTATCATCAAAATTAGCATTATTATGGAAAAAATTGTTAATTATCATCATTCAAAAACTGTATAAACTACAATTTATTTATAACACATTCAATAATATAGGGCTCAATAACTATTTTAAAATATAAATTAACTGCAACATCATAAGTAATTCAAAATATTATCTAAAATGATAGAAAAATAGATCAAACTTATTTCACTGGCTTACAATTAATGACCAGTTTTAAAAAATCGAATATTGGTTGATTAATTATATTAATTTCAATACTGTGCATAATATAAATTTTTTGATTTATGGAAATTTCTTTCTAAAATATTTGCTTCTATCTAAATTTCCTACAGACATAGGAGCATCTCCTCCACCTGTAACTGAACATTCTGACAATCTTCTAGTAACTTTATCAAGGCATGATTTGTTGAAATTTTTTACTCTTTTCATAGAGGATGGTATAAATTGAGATCTTTCAAAAGTGTTAGGGCTACTTTTTTTAATTTCAGAACTCAATGTATCAGAAAGTCTACTTATATTTTCTAATATATCTGAAATTCAAAATGTTTTCATTATAGAATAAAATAAAATTTAAGAAAAATATACATTTATACTCACTTGTCAAATCCAGGCTTTCATTGGATGAGTTTAATTCAGTCTCTTCAAGAAAAGTGTCTCTGCTAAATAAATGTTGTCTAATACTAGCTAGATTCTTAGTTTTTAATCGGTTTTTAATAACATTATCTGATTTGCAGTCTGTAAATGGGGTCCGTGGAGTTTTGTACATTAAAGACCATTCATTACGCATAGCTTGTCCTTTTTTAATATAAGGTAATAATACTGATACGTCTGATTCATTTCTAGGTACAGCATCAGCTGGTTGAATTGTGAGGGGCTGTTTACAGTTTTTGACTAAAAATGAAAAATTATTAAAATCAATTAGTATATTTTACAACATTTTTGTAATGTCATCAATTCATCAAATAATTAAATATTACCAGAATAAGGAGTTGGAATGTAGACAGATGACTTCTGATCAAAAGGTAATTGATGAATACTGGATGGAAAATTCATTGTACTTCTACAAATCGAATCTCCTTGGCCTTTCATAGACTTATAACTACAAATTGTATGCATTGAACTTGCAAGTAATGCAACCGAGTTTTTAACAATATTAGAAAGCACTGGAAAAAGCCGTTTGATAACTTTGAGCATTATTTCACATCGATTAATTACGCGTAATTGCTCTGCTGAAGTAGCTTCATTCCCTAAAAATTTTTTTGACGCCGCATCTACTTCATATATAGCTGAAAAAAAACATTGATTTTGAATTTTTTTTTTTAAACAGTCTTTGTCATTAACATTTTAAGGTTCTCTACCAGCTTTAAATTCACGAATCGTCATATTTGCATGTTTGTCAATTGTTTGAGGTCCAATATCTTCAATGGTTGCAATTATTTGACGAGACAATGATGTAGCTCGTTGAATAATAACTCCAACTTCTGTTGAAGTGATGTTTTGTTTTTTATCTAAATTTTCAGTCATTTTATGGACTCGCTCTTGCAAATCATCATAAACAATCTAAAACATTTATCATGTATAATAAAATTATGAAATAAAATATAAATGAAATTATTTAATTTGTACTTTTACTCAACCTCACAAAATACCGCTGGATCTATAATTAAATTTACAGTGTGTTGAAATTCATTTGTAACTGACTGCCATTCAGTGGTTAATAATTTAACACTTTGTCTCATTTCAATGTTGTTAGGATGCAAGTAAAATGATGTGATTGATGGTATGACTTCCGTTTCTAATGATTCAAAGCTTGCTAAACAGTTTTTTATTTTTTGCACTCCTATTGATTAGAAAAATAAAAAATAAATGAATTTATAAAATTACATTTTTGCTTTCAAAACTTACTATTTTTATCTCTGCAACAAGATATGGCAAATTTTCCTATTTGTACACATTTATCTGTCCACTGATCAAATTCTTCTATGGCTGAATCTAAATCATTCTTAGTCCTATTATTCACATTTATAGCTATTCCACATAAATTGACTAATTTTTTTAATGGACCGACTATATCACTAAAAACTTCCATGACCAGTGTAAGTACTGCAATATTAATTTTACGTTCCAATCTGTATATAGCATCTGTTAATGTATTCATAAAAAAATTATTCATTGTTAGATCAGGAACTACAGCTTTCAATTGATTTTTTAAATTATCAAATTCTGTCAAAATTGACTGAAGAGAACCACTGATAGCTTTAAAGTTATATGGCTGACAAACTTGAGCTATAGACATTGCATGGGCAAAAATTTCCTCAATGTTAAACCATAAATCTTCACATTCTTGTACTTTTTGTTCTTGGGACTTTTTTGGTAAATTTGCTATGACATCGAGTGCCAAATCAATCCTAAGCATAATTAATTGATAATGAATCATCAATAAATAAGAACCAACATTATAAATATTACTCATACCTGTGAACAAAATTATTTTCTTCTTCAAAATACTCTTCTTCTTCAGAAGCATTTGGAGCATCAATTATATCTATAATGGCTTCAAAACAGTAACATGTTCTTTCACAAATATATTTTTTGCAACTCTGTAGAAGATAATAAAATATTTTCATTTTTCACAATTTAAAACATTTTTTTTCATGAATTACTTACATAAATAGGAGCTTTCAATCGATGTTGCTCTTTAATAACTTGTACCAACATTTTGAATGATGCACACAATTGACAGCAATAAAGTAATAATCTTTCAGATAGTAGTTTTGAGTTCAAATTCTTTCTGTAGTATTGTAAAGGCCTCAAAAGTTCAGTTATCGATAGTCCCAATTCCTATAAATTAAAAAAATTCATTTAAAAGTAATTTTATTTATGCATAAATAACATAATGATATGTATATTACTTTGATATTTTGTAAATCTTCTATTTCACAAATACCACTCATTTCTTTAATATATTCAAGACATTCTTGTAGATTCTGTTTTAGCGGAGCAGTTTCAGTTTTTTCCAAATTTTCAAGGATTTTAAGGAATTTTTCTAGTATCACCTGAAATAGGCTTTCATCCAAAAAGTTTTTTTCATTTTCAACCTGATCAAAAAATATTCATATTTATTAATAGGTATTGTAAAAAAGTAAAGATAATTTTAATAAACCTCACGTTTTTATTGAAATCCATGGTACAAAATTCTTCAATTATAGATGTGACCTTTTTCTTCATTTCTCCATAAGTGTCACAGCCTTCTTTGGATGCATTCTCCAATTTTTCGGCTAAATTGTGTAGTTGATCAATTATCAATTTCCGAAGCGTGACCATTTCCGTCGCATCGTTCTTTGTCTCATTCATCAAGCAAGACAACTTTTTTATCTAAAAAAAATTCGTAAATAAAAAATCCGTCTATTCGGTAATCCCTTGCGATTTTCTTGGTTATCGGTTACAAATGGTAGCACAGATTTCGATTGCGGCGATTGCTATACTTACTTGCTCTTCGATGGGTTGGAAAATTTTCAACATTTGTGTAGTTTTCAACGACATTTTGATGCTGTCCTATTATGCAATTGTCTGCTGAATATAGAAAGTTGAATTTCTTCCCCCGTCGCCTGGAAGAAACAACGACTGTTTGTAAACAAACAACTATCCCGGTAACAAGAGTTAAAATACTCGGCGTTTCAAAAGGATGATGGTGTAGATGACGCTGCAGGTGCAATGGAAACGTTCGAAACAATTTGAATGGAGGTTCTTGTAACGATCTTCCTCGCAGCGCCTCCTTCCCTTCTCTACCGAATTTCGTATAGGTGCATGAATGCGCAAAATTTAATAGAGAAAAATAGTTGCGCAGTTTCCTAAAGTTCTTATGGGATTGTCAATTGTTTCCTAGTTTTATTTTAAGAATCGCGTGAAATATATTTACTTGAATGCACGAGTAAAGTAGGTTTGAGTAAAAACGAGCAAATTCTTTTTTATCATTTGTGCAAAATTATTCCAGTGAGAAGTTAAACAAATACAAAAGTTATAATGAAAAAAGCATTAATTTGTAGATTAACCGTTTCAAGTTGATGAATAGAACTTTGTTTTGCGTTCGCAAAAATGCCAAGTTTCAGTGAAGCAGTAACGAATGATCGAATGGGTAAATTTCAGTGTTATTTAAAAAGTATAATTTTAATTGTTACAAGTGTTAGTGTTTTGTGTTCAAGTGTTTTTTTTTAAATCAGTTTCACAATAGTGCAGTATAAAAAGTGTATCTTGATAAAAACAGTTTTACGTGCTCAAGTGTAGTGGCCAAGCCGCGCAAAAGCGCGCGCATTCGTTTCAACGGTGTAAGGTAGGATTCGATTGTTAATAATATAAAAAATGTAATTCATTTTTCATGATTTTACCAACATTCAATTAAGTTGTCTCGAAAACATAATAAGACCCCGTGTAAACTCTGATTTTTTATAATTCTCACGAAGGCGCAGAGCAATTTAGTTGGCGGGTGCGAGGCACTTGTTTATCACTTGATAGATGCCGCATCATCCATCGATATGTATAAAGTTAAAGCCCATAATGAATACTGCGACATGACGAGTGTTTTGTTTTGTTCGAATTAACACAGTGACTAACCACATACCATACACCCGCAGCCTATATCGATGAGTACATAATAAATAAAACCTCGCTTATCCAAATTCGAACATCAAGTGCGTGGAATTTCAACTGCATAACCTATAGGTGTGCGCGTGCACGACTTTGTTTTGATTTTTCTCCCATTGTACTCGAGCGGGTATTTTTTTGCTCGAATACAAAAACGAACTTGGATTATTTTTTTCCCCCAGGGCAAGATCGGATCGACCGAGACGCGTGAAGGCGACGCGCACTCGACGTGTCTTTCAACCCATTACGAAGCGCGCGAGGACTCGCGCGGTCTTCATTTTTCTCAGCGCGCCACTATTTGTTCGATCGCACATAACAAGCGGTGCTGCTTTTTTAGGCATAGCCATTAAAATAATTGAAACATTATTATCATCGACGCGCGCGGCTGGCGCGAATTCGCACCACTCGCAGTTGAGTCCCGAAAATATCCCTGCGCGAGGCTGAATATAGAAAGTAATCGCGAATTTAGCCGCGCGCAAGAGAAACGTGGGCGGCCTCTCGTTAATGGCCTCTAGGAATGCAGCATGGTACACACGAGCTGCCGGCATGTTTACGCTGATTAAGATTTACACGTCCAAACAAATGCATAATTTTGACTCTTTGTCATCTCGAGAGCGTCGAGAGACCGTTGAAACGGGCTGGAGTTGCGCGCGCCGAGCGAGATCGCCGCCACTTTCCCGCTGTGCCGCGCCGCCGAGGTGCCGCCCGTTTGCTTGCCCCCAGCCAAAAAGCTTGAAATACAAATATTTGTTTTGATTACCTTAATCATCTTGATCGTGTCTTAAAAACGATTGTCCTCTTCTCTCGTTCTCGGGGCCAATTAATTAGATTGTCCCGCGGCATCGCGTGGAGCGCGTCGCGCGGGATGAATGCGGAATATACTAATTCTGTTCTTTCGCTATTTCCTCCTATTATTATTATCATGATTTTTATTGCCCAAGCGCTGCTCGTCATATAAAAATGATAGTAGAGATTCGTGTGAGGTCAACAACTAATATAGGTGCACAGTGCACGAGATGCGTTCTCGAGCAAGCCCGGCGCGATCATCAAAGTCAGAAGCAATTATTTACGAGCACGACTCCGTGGAGCTTTTTTATTTCCGTTTCTTTTTTGGATTCTTCTTTTGTTGCGGACGTGCGAGCGAGCAGCTATAACTATGCCGTATACGTGGGACCCTGGTGATGATTACTAACGACACAATGACCGAATGAGTCTAATCGTTGCTTTCGTCGATTTTTTATGTGTTTGTTGTTTCTTTTCGCTTTTTTTCTTCTTCGTATGTTTCTCTACTTGACGGTCTGCGTGTATGAATATATTCCGGTGCTTTATTGGAAAACGAAGTAGATATACGCGAATTGTGAGCCGAGCAATTTTGAGAATGTTGCATCAGCTACTCAGGAATTTTTGTGATTCTGCCAATGAGAGGCTGTCGTTCCTGCACTTCGGGGGCGGGACTTGATTTTCAACAAAACACACTCAAACGTTTAGCTTTTCTTTCTGTAGGGTATTTATTTTTCTATTTTATATAATTTATAAAACTCAATTTTTTTTCTACAATTTTTTCGTTTTTATAATGATTGATTTGAATAATTGATACAATAATCATTAAGCAACATGCATAACTGGAACACTTGCAATTTTTTTTCTCATAATTTTATCATATAACAATAAATTTGGACTATTCCAAGGTACTTTTTTTACAACAAGATTCATGTTACACTCTTTAACGCGCTTTAAACAAATTTTTTTTCACAAGTGCAGTGTATATTCATAGACGATTTTTCTACAGCTAATATAAAGAAAATAATACAAAACTATAATACAAAGTAGTAAACATGTACCAGGTCAGTCAGATACACATCATTATTATTCTTACATTAATTAATTATAGCCTTAATTGTAGCCGGGTAATGCTAAATTAAAAGCTAAGGAAGAAAAGTTTTCTATTTCATAAAAAAATGGTCGTCGTAAAAAAGCATCGAAATCTCACCGAGCGTTCGTTTGAAAAAGTACAAAAAATGAAGAGCATATTCAATACGAGTGCGAGTCTTCAGACGTGCTCGTGTATATAATAAGTCATCCAAGGAAATAAAAAAAGTGGTTTCAGCGACTCGACGGCGTTATATTTACCACGATTCGACGATTCGGAAAGTGGAGGTTTGTTATGCAAGTCAATTTGTTGACTTGCACTCAGACAGCTGTGTATACATAACAATACGAAATGTACAAAAGAAATATCTTACAAAATTAAGGCTACGTTAAATATTTTATAATACATTCGATTCTAACAGTTCGGTATCGGATAATTTCATAATAAGTATGTACATCGTTTGATTCGCTCCAACAAGACAAGATCTCTACAATAAAAACAGGTAATATATAAATTCATACGACTTAAACCTAGAGCGCGAAATTATAACTTAACTAAAAAATTAATATACAATTATTATCACAGATGAGTGAAATGCCGGGCAAGCGATTCTGGAGCGGCATGTGCACAATGTCACACTGCGCATACTTAACGAAAGAAAGGAAAAAGAGAGCTCGCATTTACACGGTACGTATGTTACACTCCTTTTTTTTTTGTTGTAGTCGATATAGATATATCGCACACGAGCGTGCGTTTCCTTTTATTTTCTCCTGCCGAGTCGTTCGTTCACCATAAAGCCAAGGAAGCGTCGCGAGCACATATCTAGGCGTATAATATACTGTTTTATTTTTTTATTATCTCTTCCTCGAGACTTTGGTGGGCGCGCGAAAAATTAACTGCCGTGGCAAATGCCGCGTGTACATACACCACAGATATATATACATATAGGTAGGCAACAGGTAGGCGCCGCAGCGCGGTGGCCAAGACTACGGTGACGGATGTTCGCTTCATTTTACTGCTCCTCAACAACGAGCAGAGCGCAGAGAGAAGAACAAAAAAAGGAGAGAGAAAAAAAGAGCTAAGGACCGTATCGTTGAGCTGAATTTTAGAGGTTTCGCAAGTACATATAGGACGGAACCAATGCGCGTACGTCGCTCTTCTTTTTATTTTCGAGTGAATCACCGTAGTGCGCGCGCGGGCGACGGCCGAGAGCATGTGTAGCGAATTCCTCGTATATAATGACCGATACTCGTCGTATACGCATATATATCCCTCGCACACAGCCACACACAGACACACGCAAAGACGCACTCGCTTAGCACTGACATTGCGCATGCACACGTTATAAATACATAAACAGATATGTACACAGAAAATTGGTTCTTATTATCTCGGCGTCTTTTTTCTTCGTCCTCGGAGCAAGATCAATCGGCGCGTACCGATCGTTCTCTGTTGTCCGTGCGCGTTTCGTACTGGTGCCGCTCGGAAGTCGCTCGTCGGATCCCATTAGCACAACTCGTAAACCGAGACGACGTCGACGCGTATCGGCGCGGATCGCTCAATAATCGGAATTGTGACGCAGCTGTCGGATTGCGACATAATTCAATGCCTGATCCCCATTGCAACAAGCATAATACAAAAAATCTGGCAATTCAGGAGCAGGCGCACTCGAGCACCCGCATGTCCTTCCAGTTGGACACCTTGAGCTTGGTCGAGTCGTCCTCGTCGAAGTAGAGGATCTCGAGCTCGGCCAGTTTGCTCGGGGCGCAGCAGGGCCTCGGTGCCTTGTGTCTGTCCTCCTTCCAGATGAGGCTCTGCAGCAGGGCGTGGTGGTGGGCCGGGTTGTAGCGCGGCGGGCAGCGACCCTTGCAGTAGCCCGCGTCGAAGTTCTTCGGCTGGATGATGAAGTCGAAGCCCTCGAGCTCCTTGAAGGTGACGCTCATGTGGTGGCGGCAGCAGCGCTTGGCCCCCTTGCCGTGGCACTCGGTTCGTCGGCCCCGATGCAGCGAGGGCAGCCGCGACGACTCGCCGCCGATCGAGCGCTTGCCGCGGAACACCGTCAGCCAGGACGGCGGCTGCTCGCTCGTGTGGAGATTCAGGGCGGCCTTCTCGATTCGGTGGTAGATCGCGTCGTCCTTCTGCCGATTCTGCATGAAAAAATTATTCGTGTTTAGAGACATTCTAATAGATTTTCTTTTGGTCAAAAGTATGTGAATTGACGGCTCTTTACCTTTCGCAGCACTTGGACCATCAACCTCAGCGGATCTTCCGTCAATTCGAGACCGTCTCCGAGATCAAATTCAAGCCAACGTCTTCTTATGTTGCCCGGATCGTTCGTCGATAATTGACTCAACAGATTGAACGCCTCGTCGTAGACTCGAATTTCTAACCGATCGTCTTCACGGTCGTCCTCGTTGTGATCCAGAAGTAGCCTCAACGTCGCCGAGTCCAGCTGCGGAGGTGCGTACTCGTTGATATCCAATGAAAAGTTCAGCACCGAGCCATCCTCCGTACTCGTAATCTCTGCAAATCAACAAAAGTAGATGCTTGAATCGAGAGGGTGACTGATGGAAAAATCGAGGGCACGAACAATGCACGAACGGCGTACCGGGTTCGATCCCAACATTCTGGTACGAGTACAGTTGCTATTGTTTTCTCTTACACATTGCATACAGACAAAATGCGATTGGCCGCGGTTCATCAGATTCGCGCATGTAATAATACGCATACTCTCCCTTTCTCGTTTGTTCTGAAAAGCCGTTACAGGGTTTCTCTGTTTCTGCAGTAGTCGACGAAAAAAAAAGTCCCGCCGGCCGACGTTTGCCGCGGCTCTTTCTGGGTCGCAAATTTCTTGCATTACGCGCGCCTGTGAAATACATACGGCGCGCGTGAGGTCGCGTAGGAATTTTTTCAATCGAGCGAGCATCGTCCGCGCATGGCATTGGCTTCGTCGCCGTTGTCGTCGTCGTTACTTCGCGCCGCAATGTGCATACTGCATTTTGCACGCACGCGCGCGCGCGTAATGACATGTTTACGCGGAATAATCCCAAAAGGTTCGGAAAAATTTGACCAACTGTGAAATGGAGAGAAAAGATTTTCTGAAAACCTCCAAACGTTTGGCTTATCTATTTGATTGTTAGAAGTAACGTTAAGAAATTTACATGCGCACTCGACGCTTGTATCGTTGACCGAAACTCGTCTACCTTCGTTCACGATGATACTTAAAAACACGTGTGCTTCTTGTGTTTACAATTTTTTCATCTCCGCGTATCTTTCTTTGTTTCGCAATTTGTGTGTATACCCTCGAAAGTTCAACGTAATTTCTTCATCGCATACCTGTCTATCAGTTTATATCTCTTCAAAGGTCCTCCATCAAAAAATCGCGACTGAAGTACGCGGCACATCGATACGATTCTTCGCGAAAAATTGCTGCGTCGAGTGTCCGACAACGGTGAATGATACTTGTGGCTTTTATTCGCGCGCACGACGACTCGAAATATTTTTGTTTCTTTAAATACGCAAAAATTTCGGATTACGCATTCAAAAAAGTGAAATTAAGAATGGATCCTTTTTAAAGTAAAAAAAAAAAAAGAGAAAAAAAAGCTTCGTTCGTAACCGTATTAATATGTCAAATCAGGATGAAAAAGTAAACAGTAAGACAGAAGCAATTTATGCTAATGGCTCGCGTTTATCGATCGAATAAAAGCGATTTCTCCGAACTGGCTTGCAGAAAAATAAAAGACAGCAGCGAGTGTGTGGATTTTTGTGCGAGTCGATATAGACGAAAACGATGGCAACAGCCATTCGTCATGTATACCGCGCGGCTACTATACGCGACCGATTCACTTTGCATGCGAGAGCAAACGAATGAAGCAAAAAGAGAGAGATCGATAGAAAGAGAATTTACCTCCCCAATAATTTAGAAATCGATAAAAATTATTCGAAAAGTGGAAAGCCTCGGCGATTCGATGAGTCTCGCGCGACTTCATTAAAACGTCACATATCTCGTCTTTCGCGTCAGTGGGAATAATCGGGAATTTTAGAAACGACGACAAAGCTCAGAGAGAAAAAGAGAGGGTAAGAGAGACGCTGCTCGCGATACATCACGACGAGCTTGCATCACGAGCTCAGTCAGGGCAAAGTAGGGCCATGCACTCGCGGCTAAGAACTTTTGTTCCTTTTTTTGTTGTTGCAGCGGAGCATGTAGCTCTCTACTTTGCGCGCGGGCTCTCACTTTTATGTCTCAGGTATACTTTGTAGGTATATGCGCGCACGATATCTAAGGGGAGGCTAGTTTGCGCGTCAATTAGGTCTCTGCGCTCGCGGCATAAAAGCGAATATAGTAGGTACATATTCACTTACGCTGAGCGTAGGCGCTGAAGAGCTTCCTCCTAGTGCTGTGGTAGTGGCTTGACTCTTCGCCTTCCTCTTCATTCGTTATACTGCGGCGGGAGCGCGTCAGATGGTAGTACTCCTTGTGGGCTCGTTCGTATTCTGCTTGGCTGATGTTCGCCTACAAACGGAGAAAAAAAAGTATCTCGCATGTAGCTTGTATAACGGCAGAGACTTTTAAAAGCATCGGTAATTCTCTTATTCTGCGATGTTACGTATATATTCTATGTATAAAGTAAAAAGCGAGTGCATCTATTATTAATGCACGATAAGTCAATAATCGACACGAAAACTAAAATAGCGTCGCGCATTCTGTAAATGGAATGGAGGAGGCGATCTGTACTTTCCTCGACAATCCGTTACTTTTTTTATTGGACAAAAGAGCTAAAGACCGAGTAGCGGAGGGTTTGCGAAAGGACTCGAGTGCCGTGCGCCGACGAGGGCTGCAGCTCGATGATAAATGAAAAAAAAAAGTCTTCGAGGCGGACGACACGCACGCACGTATATTACAATACGCGCAAATGCAAAGCTGCACGTCGTCTCCGGCTTCGGGGGGTGCGGTCACACGTCAGACTGCGATGCTCTCTTAACGCGAGCACGTCGCAAGTATATTTTTTGCCTCGAAAGCTCGCGAGCTCGATGTATAATATTATACACACGCACGCGTAATATTCGATCGCTTGTATAAGTTGCGCGCGAGGCGCATCTGGATCTCGTTACGGCTTTACGAGGGCTCGTCGTCGACGTCGACGACTACTACGACGCCAATGTTATGTATGTGCGAGTGCGTACCGATAAAAATAAACGCAAATTATCATCGCGTGAGCTGTTAATGGCATACATTCTAAATGAATTCACGGAGAAAGAGAGAGAGAAAGAGAGAAAGAAAGAGAGTCGAGAGCTTTATTGCGAGCTCGCCGCGCACAACAACACGTACACACACCTATATGCCCAAGCTCTCTCGCCCACGTTGCGTGATGCATTGCTCGCGAACACGAGCGAGAGTGTATTTTTGAAATAAGAGCCGGTTAGGATCCACCCGCGCGGAGAGTCGATAATGATCTATTTATAAGATTGCGCGTATTAGGTGCGAGCTGTACCGCGCTCTAATACCGACACACTTGATCATCCGCAGCGCAATTTCGCGCGGCAAGAATTCGCGCCCCCCGCGCTGATAACCGTGTATACGCATCCGGTACCACTTTATTATTAGGATCTGAACGCAGCGGTCGCTGCATCAAACGGCTATATTTAAAATCGATTCATCTGTAATGCAACCACTGCGATCTAGTGGCCTAATATGTGTAAGAGTGCAACGAAATTTTGTCGAGCGCGTCTAATTCACGCGCAAACGAAACATTTTATACGTGCGCCAGCCAGAGAGCGCAAAGCTCTACGATCAGCTGCTGCTCGCGGGAAAAATGTGCCAGTCGCGCTATTATAATCAAGCTGTTTTTTTTTTTTGACGCGCTGCACCAAGAAGAAAATATGAATATTCCTCATCTCGAACCTTCGAACAATTCATGCCGTTTAGGAGTAATCACGTGCGCGGGCTCGACGTTTCGAGCTTGATCGTTTAAATTATGAGTTCACCCATGGATCTTGTATACGAGGCGCCTATTCGGCTTCGCGTCGCTATATATGTACTCGCTACTTTGCATGCAAATAACAAATAGTTTTCTATTATGACTTTGTCGCGATAAAAAATCACCACGTTTTGCCTTCATCGAAAAAAAGCTCGCGGCGCATAATAACTTCGATAGTCATTGCATATTACGCATTCGCAATTATACTACCATTGATAAATAAACGCCGACCCATTTTAATCGGTTGAGAAAAAAAAAGTTTTCATGCACACTGCAGCGACATTGCCACACGTATTAACTTTACTACAGAAAATATTTACGCAGACTCATCTTGGTCGGTCGGTAATGCATTTGCTATCGGAATTACGTCAATCTTCGAAGTACGGATTGTCTTTGCTTGCGAAGCTGCGTACAAGTATACGCGCGCGCGTACGCACGCACATGTAATACACACTTACTCGCGCGCGTGTCCGTCTAAGTGAGTAACGACAACGATGAAAAATCCTCGATAATATACGTACTACTACCGAACGTGAGCTTTATCGAGTGACAGAGAGACACAATATGCCGAGATACTACTACTTATTCAGATGGAAATTCTCAAGCACGAGTGCGAATGCGATAACGCAATCGATTGACTCTCGTGCGCGTCTCGCAATTGTGTCACACTGTACGACGTCGCTCGTTTATTTGTTTTGGACATGAAAAGTTGTCGTGGCGATCTAATTATCGGGAATTTCAAAGTGCACCACAGCCACTCTCGAGCCTCTGACTCATCGCGTCCAACCGCGTGAATGATCCTTCGATCGTACAATAGCTACGCATACGGCGCGAAAATCAAAGTGACACGCAAGTCCGTCGCTAGTGCGCTACCTCCCTCGCACGCATACCCGCGGCACAGACACTCGCGCACACGGACATCAAAGCGGTGTACTGCGTATACCTCGTCATTGCTGCGCTCGGAGCAAAACGTATCGAAGATGATTTCGTGGAAACGCTTTGTGCGAATCTGTTCTGACCGGCTCGAGGCGCTGCAGCGCTTTATTATGTAATGTGCGATGCGTGTGTGTATATGATATTTCATCATTTAAATCTCGCGGGCACGCGGCACTGCAATCGGCGACACGCGCTGGAGCCGATTTGCCAAACGATCGCTTCTACACTCATAATACCGGCACGATTCAACGGAATTGATGTATCATGCTGAATTCATTCCTATTTTTTTTGTTAGTCTCTTTTGCCTTCGAAATATTTCGTTCACGATAATCGAATTAACCACACGTACAAATGCCATTTTCTTCTTTTTACTTTTTCCTTTAAATTTTTCTTTCTTTTTTTCGAGCATCACGCTCACCGATAAGAGCATTGAAACGTTCGATTACTGAGTAAATTTCCGGGAACGATAGTAAAAGTTAAAATTTTAATCAGTATGGCAGTGGGTCGTGCTGCTGCTTGAGTGAGCCGAGACTCGAGCCGTTTTTTGGTCATCGCAGCCATAAAAAAAGATTAATTAGCACTGCATTCCTGGATCGCCGTCGCGAAGATGATATTTTATTTCGCTTGGCGCTTTTTCTTCTTCTTCTTCGTCTCTTTTTTGTCCTCTCGTATTTGAGCAGGATTTTTATGAACTTGTCAGTGCTGATTTAATTTTGATAGATGTCACATAATTACGGAAACGAGCGGATTCAATTACAGGCGTCCAGACGTGCGAAAAATTCGATAATTTTGAGTTTTTATTGCAAATAAAAAATTCCATTTATCGACAAAGATTGTCCGAGTTGAAGGAACTCATTTCTAGTTTGGAGTTCAAAAATAGCGAAAAAATCTTTGACCAAAGATCGACTCGGGTCGAGCGTTTGGATAAAGTATACGTGCTGTTAAGAAAGCAAACGCGAAGCATGTCGTAGGTAAAGAGAGAAGTATCCGTGTGCACACAGACACACACGGGTATTATGCATGAACGTGTGCCATCGATAGACATTTAAAAGTAAACTATCCAACTACCGAACGCCTTGGCCTCAATTGCTATTATACTTGTATAAATGCATTTATGAGAAAGAAGAGAGAGAGAGAGAAAAAAAAGACGTTTCCCTTCCATAGCTCGACAGAAATATTTTCGGTTATCGATTGATTGAAACGTAACGAAGATATAATATAATATCGCGAGCAGCACTCGTGTATGTACGTGCGTATAAATATACGGCGTCCGCTGGATGGTAATTACACGTCGCGCGCTACACATGTACATTACATATCCGTGGGCGAGGCGTGCGCGGGCATTAAAATTATATACAGGCACGAACGAGAGGGAGAAATGAGGTACTTTATGCCTTCTCTATACACTACGTGAGCGCGCACGAGCGACAGGTTTGACCCAAATAAATCCTAATAGGCAAAGTCGACGACGTGAAAGATTGCACTTATCGTCCGTTCGCACTTTATGAATAAATGTTTCTGTTCCGACTCTACAGTCGTGTACCCTTGTAGCGCTACCATTGCACTGGCCGCCGCTTCGTTTTTGTTATTGAGAATTTTTTAGACATTGCATCGTTCGCTCGACAGGTCGAGTAGTTGAGTTATATAAGCGCAAAACCCGCGAGAGAGAGAGAGAGAAAAAAAGGCGAAGGTTACGCGCGTACGCGATAGTTTAATGAACCGCGCGTCGTTCACGCCGTCGCAACTATATATCTTTTGTGCGCTTACAATTATATCATAACGTAATGATCTCGAAAGAGCAGTTATGCGTTTAGGCAAAATCCTTTGACGGTTTCTCGCCGACTCTCGTTGAAATCATTGCAATTAACTTCAAGTACGCGCGAGCAATTATAAGCTCCTCGAGGATCGAACGGCGCAGTACGATTTTTTAAACTCGCGCGCGCTTTCTAACTCATCTCGTGTCACTTTCGAATTATTGCTCCTGACTTTTTTTCTCCGTCTGCTGATCGCTGAGTAAACAGAGCACTTAAAAATAAATAGCTTAAAATAATAAAATACGGTTGGCGAGGCATTAATCTCGACAGGAGTCGACAATTTGATGAGTATACGTTTTATTAAAGGTGCGCGTTTATATTTGCATACGCACATAAACGGTTTTTCTTATTCCCATACTTAATAAATCCACATTGTTCGTTTATTTACCATCTCCTCGTAATTTACCTATCCCATATATCTCGTCTCTTCAGATATTTTAAGTCGGTCGATTTTAATGAGATCTTTATGGAGTCTTCGGGAGCTCAACGATGATGAGGATAGTAACTTGATGAGTTGCGTTGCCACATCAATCCGCGCGGTGTATGCGGCACCGTAAATAATAATACGACGTCCCTCCGGGTTTTTTTAATTTATTTATTTTTATTTTAACGAGAGTTAAAATAGGTGATAATTTTTTTTCCGGGTTTGTAGATAAGTTTTTGTATTGATCAACTGCGTAGTAATGGTAATGATTATTAGGTGCAGGTTTCATAACCAATTGCTCGAATTATTTTGACAAACATATAGGATACGCGCGTGGTAAAAGCTCCGCGTTCTGTGTGCG